TCAATGCGTCCTGGGGTTTGAAATTGACCGGCTCCCACCTCTCAGTCTCCATCTTCTGCGCTAGTTTCTGCTTTTCTACTTCGTGGAGAAGTGGGATAAAGTCGTGAATTTGCTTGTTCACGACACCCCTGAGAGCCGTTCCTGAGTGTCCAGAGATTGCCTCGCATTCATTGATAAACAGGCGATTCAGTGTAAAGTAGCGTAGGAATTCAGTTGGTCCAAGGCGAACCGTTTGCTCGGTTCTGACACGCAGAACTTTTGTCATTTCTGACTCGACCTTGTCCACTGCTTGTACCAGGAGGCTCGACATATCAAGGGTTTGCGTCATGTCTTCCTGTAGATTACATCTCTCCGAAAGGCTAGACGTGAGTACATTGCTTGGGCTCTTCTTTATCCCGCTTGTGATATCGAGTAGAACTTTGATCTGTACACTAAGCCTCCGTAATGCCTCACCTACTCGGCAGTAGACCTTGACGAAGAAGACATGGGCATCCTCAGGGCTGAGAGCACGCAAGTTGCGAGACAGAATGCTCAACCTTTCCTGCTGGCTCGGACGTCGACCGCTTGTCAGCGTAGAGGCAGACACCATAGATTCATTATCGTCATCCGTAGAACTAGGAAGGTGTCGGCGAATCAGAGACTTCATCTCTCGAATAACGGCTTCGCGAAATGTGGTACTTGCCGCAGCAAGATACTGCGACTGGCCAAGTCCCTGCAAAACAGGTACGAGTTCCTCACGCAATTTTTCTGCAGTCGTCATGGGCGCGGGTGTCGATAGGGAACTATGTGTGCGTTTTGAGATATCAGTCCAGCGCGACAGAGTATCTCTCGGCGGAATACTGGACACATGTTGGCGGAGATCGCACAAAAGGACATGCAGCAATCGTGCTTCGTATCCCTTCCATATCCGCAGGCGAAGCTGGCCGATGTTTTGCAATGGGTCTTCAAGGACGTGCAGTTGGCGTAGATCGATAAGCCTGGTAAATGAATTCGGCAGAAACCAGCACAACTCGCTGCCGATTTTCGGATCCAGTGTTCCGGATACAAGCTGTTCGACGTATGAGATATGTTGTATAGCCGTCTCCAGTTTTCCAGAGTCTACGAGCTCCTCACAATGGCTGACGCCGCGGAGAACACATTGATGTTGCATGATGGCCTCTCCCAGTTTCCTTAGATTGTCCTGTCTTCTCTTCACTCTGATGATCTCAAAACCGTGCTCTATCATTGCATTGTCCAGATGTACGAGGTCCTCCCTCAATTTCTGGATCTTCGTGACGGAGTGGGATACTTCGGTCTGAAGTTCACGAAGGGAGCCGAGCGCGGCAAAAAAAGAGGTTGACGCTTTCGAAATCGAATATATTAAATGAATCTCAACGGTGTCCATGTACCACGATAATTTTTCTTGCAATATGGCATCGGTAGTAAGCGCCTTTCTGGCAGGATGCGGATCACCATTTGCAACAATGCCATCTGTGTCGTTATTACGGTTTCCAATAGTGGATAGTGGCTGCCGTACAACCTCCGCATGCTCACTGACAACATCAAATGTGCGCGGGTCCTCGAGGCGAAAATTTTCATCGAAATAGACGGAGGGAATTGTAGACAGTGGAGTAGGTGCAAGTTGACCGCGTTTCGAAACACCAATCTTTGACTTTTCTCGCGGTGCAAACTCCTCATGTTTGTCAGTGGCGGTGTCTTGACGAAACGACTGTGTGCCGCGGTTCTCGTACTCGAGCTTCATACGCTGGAGGGTGTCAAACAGGGGCCCGATCTGGCTGAGGTAGTTTTTAAAAACCAAGGGCTCGACGGGGGGTATAGTGGTGAGAGTAACGGGAGGTATGTCCCTGGACGTCGGCGGTTTCTGCGAAGTTGAAGGGGCTGCGGTGGGAGGAAGGGTCCCAGTGCGTGATATTGGCGGTTTAAGGAGTATATATATCGCTTCGAGAATCGTCAATAAACGGTTTCATGTAATCTCGCCTCTGAGCTTTACCTGCCATTTTGACCTGGCTCTGCTATTGTACTGTAGTCGTAACTGGAAAATGCGTCTTCTGTCCTTGGTGAAAGCGACACCGCAAAGGAATGCGGGCTCCCTGACTTGCCGCTTGAGAGAGTTGACATGATCGCCCAGCGCAGCGTAGAGTAGCGCTTGCGTTACGAAAGATACTGTTGCTTTAACTTGCTTAGGAATTGTCAAGGGTAGATGGAGGTAGTTATTTATTGAGCAGTGGAGATTGAAGTTGGTCATTCTTAGTAACTAAGTTAATGAGGCTGAACAGCGAAGTTTAACTTCCATATTATGTAAGAAGTTTGTGGAGACTAAGTGGGTCGATGGCTGTCTGTCCTCTAGTTAGTTGACTGGTTAAAGCATCAAAAGATCGATTCTTTTCAACGTCAACAACACAACTTCGTCGGTATTACCTTACATTCAGCATTATAAGACTAAAAAATGGTGGCATTTTTCATCATTATACCCCGCGAATGCTATATTTTACTCTTCTATTATGGACTCTGGAGCTATTACCAAAGGCATGCTTCTCCGTTATTCGGAAATTATGTTGAGATATATTATATCGGGAAGACATGAAAACAGCACCAGCCCAAAACTCTAGACAGAGTGCTCAAACAAATGCAAGGCAACTCTATAGCTCCTTCTCACTCGGCTTAATTTTGTTGAGAATAATATCCAGGTTTTGTTCACAAGCCTTGCTCTCGTTCTCCACTATCTCCTGATGCCTCGAGCTACGGATGCTAAAGACTGCATCGAAAGGCAGCGGCTGCGAGTCCGGGCTCTGTGACACATTGTCCGGATCAATTTCCTTTTTATTTCCAGCCTCATCATAGGCATATTCGAAGTTGTATGCCCAGAGCATCCGTGATATCACTGAGAAGAGTGTATCGCGAACAAGATACTGCCCTGGACAAGCTCGTCTACCGAACCCGAACGGACAGGTTGGCAGCGCAGAGTCATCGATCCATCGTTGTGGCCGGAAGTTGCTGGGATCACCGAAGATTTCCTCATCGTGCTCCAGTGACCAGTGGTTGGCTGCCACGGGGGTGCCCTTTGGAATCCTGTAACCCATGTACTCGTCATCTTCAATGACTGCGTGAGGCATCCCGGTGACAGCGATGGGCCGCCATCTCTGCACCTCGGCTATAAAGGCATTGACATAGGGCAAATTCGGCATATCGTCGAATGTTGGCAGCCTATCGGGCCCTACAACTCGGTCAAGCTCTTCTTGTGCCTCCTTGACGGCATCCTGATGCAATACGCTTGCCATGACGAAGACGCACAGGGTCATCGGAACAGCGTGACCGGCTTCAAAAAGGTCCGCAGATGTCATTATTATATCTTCTTTGTCGATGTTATTCCTCTCTTTTTCCCCGGCTAAGGCTTTGCACCAATTCCATGAACGTGACATAAGTGCCGTATCTGTGAGCTGTTCAAGCAACCTCTCCTGATTTTTAATCGCCTTTTGTGATCTGGCTTTCCATTTGCCAAAGCTCAATACTTCAGTTAACCATGGGAAAGGTTCCACCACATGGTTACGCTGGAACGCGTGTTCGACAGCGGTGATATTCCCGATATATTCTTCTTGATATCGTTCTCCCAAGTCTGCAATTCTCCGGCCATACATCAAAACGAGTAGAAGGTTAGCGTGGTAGAGCTCGAAGATGTCAAAAAACTCGCTTCCTTGCAACAGAATCTTGAGCAAAAGGTGCTTGCTTTCGATGTCCTGGAGAACACGATATCGTTTCGTCATACTAGGCTTGACAAGAGCCGTCTGAATACGGTTTCGCTGTTTCCACCTCGGCCCGTATGGTAGGAATGTTATCGACTTGCCGCCAAACCCATAGTCTCCTAGTCCGGCAAAATGGGGACGTGAGCTGTAGATACCTCCTCGTCTATCCAAGAGATCTCTGGCTGATTTGTGCGACCCGAGCAAAATCATCGTTTTCAGTCCGCATTTGACAGTGATTACAGGGCCATACTTGTCGTGCCATTCCTTATACGTCTTCCACCGGAAGTTCTTTGGTATCTGATGTAGGTTACCTATAACCGGCAGCGACGGGGGTCCGGGAGGGAGAGGAAGATGGCGACTGAAAAATCGAGGTGCGACATAATAAATGGCCAGGCAAATGCAGGCGAGAGCCAGCAAGGCAAGCATTCTTATCACTTTCTCCTCTCTTGTGCTCCAAGCCTCTCTCAAGGGTATGGAAGGTTGTCTGAGGGGGATGGGACCTTGATACTGACTGTATAGAGAATATAACTAAGCTTGAACGTTCCTCCAATTATCAACAAGGTCAGAGAATGAACTTCTATATATCTACTCTAGAATGCTACATGTCTCTTGATCCTCGAACCCTTGACTAATATTTGGGTAACGGCGATGTCTTAATCCCGCCTGGCTGATATTTGGGGAAAAGAGTGGGTGATGACTGGCCGGATGGCTTGACCAACTCAGTGGTGGCTTCCTGCATGAGTCTACTCCACCGAGGGCGCATCTGGTCGAATAGCCAGAAGCTCAAACAACCTAGTATAGTACAGGGGGAGAGAAGCGATCACTCCCCGTATAAATTGGGTGGGGAACAAACAATGGATGCTGTGCGCCCGCCGTATGAACTTGGTTGCACTAGTTTAAATATTGAGGATCTCCTGGTCCATCAGATCACTGCTAGAGTATGCATTACTACGTAGTGACAAGCTTTTGGGGAGGTGGACTTCCAAGTCCACTTTTGTACGAAACCCAAGTCGATTATGCGGTGTGACCTGTCTTCTTCCGATGTGAGCTAAGAGCAAAATTATCCCTCGGAAACTGAGGGCTAGGTCTAAGAAATGTAGATAGTATGTTATATTAGGGGATATCCACGAAAAATTAGTCCCGACACTCTCAAAAATGGCTTTTTGTCTTACTTCAAACCAGTTTACAAAATGGCAATTATTAACCATTGGAAACATCAGTGTCACTCACTCACTCGCTCCGGAGGCATGGTTTCTAGCTTTACTGCCGGCTTTTGTATCTCATCCTGATCTCTGGGTTCAGAATTCCGACGGCATCCACATATATATTGAAATCTGGACATTTGCCATCTTCATGTGCCAATTCTATGTGATAACCCAAGAGTATCTTTGCGGCCATGATCTGGCACAGCCTGGTCCCCAGTAGCCTTGCGGGACATGACGAGATTCCAAGTCCGAAAGACACCCATTGTTCATTAGGTGAGATCGTATCGCGGAGGATGTCGCTGGCTGCTGAATCAGGTTTATAGAAACGGTTGCCATCGAATCTTGTAGGATCTGGGTAGAAGTCAGGATCTAGATGGGTAAATGCACCAGATGTAGTGAGGTTCGTTCCAGGGCCGAAAGTCATGCCAAGTGATTTGATTGTGACTGGTTCCTTAACGATTTGACGACTACCGGCAACTACACAGGTTGTGCTTAGCGTAAGAATCACAGGATGACAAAATTATTATCATAACTTACCCATATTGATGCAGTCCATGCGTAGGACCTCCCTGCTGAAGCTCTCAAACCTCGGGGTGTGATTGAAGAGGTCGAAGTTCCATTTGCCATCATTCAATTTCAGGGCCTGTTCCAGTTCGAGCCTGACCGGCTCGAGGAACTCTCTATGGCGTAAAAATCGGGCAATGAAAGCGGCTAGAATCATGGTTGTGGGTTCGACCGCTTCAAAGAACATGAACATGGTCTCATCAGCCATCATATCAATGTGGTGTTCTTCATCCTTCGTCACTCCATTGCGGGTTAGGGGTCCCTTTTTCAGCGCAAGTTCAATCATTGAGCTGGCGTAGAAGTGGTCGTCATTGGTTGGTGGACTCGCTCGTTTCTGCTTAAGTAAACGTCTAAGTTCCGGCACGATTGTCTTTTTCATTGATTTCATGGATGATCTGATCTGATGACACTCAGGCGCGAATAATTCCAGAAGAGGTCCCATTATCCGGGGCATTGACTCGTAGAGATGTGTTCGTGCTTCAACTTGACCGACATATTCACCCATTTGTTTTGCAAGTCCTGCTTCTCGCCCAAAGCCAGGATGGAAAACAAGGAGAACACCCGTGTCAATTAGAACCTGAAGTGATATATTGAAAATAGAGTCTTCGTTCCAGCCTACCCTTATAGTTAGCGGCCCGAACCACTTCAATTTGTGCGGAAGCAATACATACTCTTTGATGAGCCCATGGCTTGACTAATGCTATTATCAGCCTCCTTCATGATAAGAGGATCTAGTTTTTCTGCAGATAATGAAAGATTAATCAGAGTTCTCATGAAGATGGGTTTATCGAAAGAAGGTGCGTGGTGGTTAACCTACTCAGGGCGCTCGGCTTGTTGCATGCTTGCATGGCCTCGACGGGAACCTTCCAGGCAGCATCCAGGATGTGGTTGAAGTTGATTTCCTACATATTAAACCGTTGAGCTAACTTGGCTGCATAAAATTTGCGATATGCTTGGGTACTAGCACATACATCTGACATCATGTGCCTCATGCTGAGGTTATCTTTCGGTAAGTTGAAAAATTCTTTTCCACAGTGATGAGGAAGGACTATCATATCGCCTGAGCCTCCCGGCAGAGGCACGGCCCAAGGCTTGCCCTTTTTGCTATACTGATATGAATGAGCAAGAGGGAACCATAGAAGCGTGACTTTTGGGCAAGAGAGTTTTGTGTATTACCTCTGAATACCCGCGCGCGAATCCTTCCATGTAGTTATGGCCGGAGCTCCATAGCCGTAGACGGGGGCTGAAGTAACTTGTATCATCCATGAGAGTGATAGTGCCGAGAAATCTCCTTCGTTTCCAACCATGGTGATAATCCACCGCGAGGACGAAAAGTATTCCTGTGGCCACCAAGGCAAGCACACTCCCCAAAAGGGGCAGGGCAATAGCCCGGGGCAATAAAAGCCCGTCCTCAAATAATCCAAGCATATTCCTATCCCTTTAGAGTGTCTTCAGGATAGGTTGCGGGTATGAAGATATGAAGGGGGAGAGGTGAGATGTCGGCAAGCAGCATGGGAAATTCCACTTCTAAAATATTAAAGAGGTAGGCTTTGTTTTCATGGCCAGCTAATGTCAGCCTAGCAGGTATTGGAATTTGGCCTGGTTGGAAAAATAAGCCGCTACTTTTGGGTTTGTTGGCTTATGGACCAAATTTGGTCCTCATTCGGGCTGTTCCTATCAGTTTCATAACCTTCCTCTGCACATAAAAATGGGGCACGAATGAGAGGGGTATTCCACCAGTATCCGGGGTGTTAAGTGATCACCAGCTGTATTATTGTTACCAGCTTGGAGCATGAGTCTATTCGTTTCGTACCACATTTCCGATATTATCTGTATCGACGAGGATCGTCTCCTTTCCTGCAGAACAGGCTGAAATGGTAGTCTCCAGACTGTGGCAACTCATTGATATATCCAAAGGGGTGATGCTGGCTTGATTATACGTGTTACCAGGGTGGCTGCAATGCACCTTGCACGAGTTTCGCCCAACGAAAAGAATACTCCGTACGGAGTACTCTGTGGTGCTGTGCAAGGTAGGATAAAGCAGCTAATTCACTCAGCGATTCTCATCAGCGCTTCTGGGCGTTCGAAGAACGGGGCAAAGTTCCAATGGAAGCGGATGCCTGAAGTACTTCGTTCTCCTGCTCCAAACCCCAAAGCTCCGTGGCTGGTTCTTTACGTGGCTCCAGTAGGCCGAGACTCTAAAATAGTTGCACGCCGTGATCTCTGTGGGCGTGATGAGTCTGCTCCCATGGGCTTGCTGTAAGACGTTCTCAAAAATGACATTACGCCAGCGACGGGACGATCACCGCAAGCTGAAGTTGAGGTTGAGTTGACGAGTTCGCTGGACGGGTTAAGCTGGTTTAGGTAATCCGTCCTAACTAGCTCTGCTGATCTTGCTTACTCAGCAGCCACATGCATCTGACCAATCAGAGGCCTTTCTTTTGAGGTTCCTGAACTTTGATTAGTCAACATTCTTACATTCACGTGACAATTAATAGATCACATGACTTGACTTGCTTACTCAGCCATCACATGCGTCTGACCAACCAGAATCAGCTTATTTATACGGAGAATTTTTCGGTCCAAAAAAGGCGCGAAAAAGAAAAGAAAAAGAACAAAAACCGAGTCAAAAAACGGCAGAGAAGAAGATAGAAAGAAAGGCGAGAAAGACGAGAAAAGGACAAGTTGCCATTCATTTTGACGAACGACGACGGATACACAGAACAGAAGTGCCGAGCAAAGCAGACACAGCAATACAAGATGGAGTCTCTGCTTCAGCAGTCCCGCGCCCTCTGCCCGTTCCTAAAGAAGACCGCCCCGGCTACGCTGCGAGCGCTCTCCACCACCACCAGGCCGAGTTCGAGCGTTGTTGGAGGCACCATCACCAACCTTCAGGTGGTTGCCAGGCGCTGCCCTGTCATGGGCAAGGCTCTCGCCGTCCAGAGCGCCCGCATTGCCCTGAGAAGTGGCGAGGCGAGGGCGTTTGGTACCTGTCCTCGCTCGGCTGGCGCTGCTGGCCTCGTCAGGGAGAACCTGCACCGGGCCCATGGCAAAGCCCTCTGCCCGGTGTCAAAGAAGGGATTGCATACTACTGCTGCCCAGGCGGCCGTTGTTGACCAACAGGCCCGTGGAAAGGGTAGAGGTATGTATTCTTGCCGTCTTGTCGGAGCCTCTAAAAGTATTAGCCGAGATAGACGTAAGAGATGCTGACGGCTGAGTAGCAGTCCCGGTCCCTCCGCGAGCCACCGTCGAGCAGCTGAACTGTGCGAGAGAGACGTTTGCTGGTCCCAAGCCAGCTATCCCATCGCCTACTGCGAAATTCGACTATGAGGGCTTCTACCGAGGCGAGCTGGACAAGAAGCTCAAGGACAAGTCCTACCGCTACTTCAACAATATCAACCGTCTGGCCAAGGAGTTTCCTCGGGCACATATGGCTCCCCGGAGGACAGAGTAACTGTCTGGTGCGCCAATGACTATCTCGGTATGGGTCGTAATCCTCATGTGTTGAAGAGTATGCACGACACACTCGACAACTACGGAGCCGGTGCTGGAGGTACACGCAACATTTCCGGTCACAACCAGCATGCTGTTGCCCTAGAGAAGACGGTGGCAGATCTTCATCGGAAGGAGGCTGCTCTTGTCTTTAGCTCTTGCTATGTTGCGAACGACGCTACCTTGGCCACTCTCGGCAGCAAACTGCCAGACTGCGTGATTCTGTCTGACAGCCTCAACCATGCTTCCATGATCCAAGGTATCCGCCATTCTGGAGCCAAAAAGTACGTCTTCAAACACAACGACCTCGAGGATTTGGAGATGAAACTTGCCGCTTTACCACCTGGTATCCCCAAGATCATTGCTTTCGAGTCCGTCTACAGCATGTGCGGATCCGTTGCCCCTATTGAAGCCATCTGTGACTTGGCCGAGAAGTACGGTGCTATTACTTTCCTTGACGAAGTACATGCTGTGGGCATGTACGGACCACACGGTGCTGGTGTAGCTGAACATCTCGACTACGAGGCTTACGCCAACCCTGAAGCAGATATCAGGGGCACCATCATGGACCGTATCGACATAATTACTGGTACCCTGGGCAAGGCTTATGGCTGCGTAGGAGGCTACATAGCTGGATCAGCAGACCTGGTTGACACCATCCGCTCCCTTGCCCCTGGGTTCATCTTCACCACCTCTCTACCCCCAGCTACAATGGCTGGTGCGACTACCTCCATCGAATATCAATCTTCTTATACCCGTGACCGTACCATGCAGCAACTCCACACCAGAGCAGTCAAATCTGCCCTAGATGCAAATGATATCCCCGTTATTCCCAATCCATCTCACATCGTCCCTATTCTCGTTGGAGATGCCGAAGTCGCCAAGAAGGCATCGGACATGCTCCTGGAAGACTACGGTGTCTACGTACAAGCAATCAATTACCCTACTGTCCCACGCGGGGAAGAACGTCTCCGCGTTACCCCAACACCCGGCCACACAAAGGAATACCGCGATCATCTTGTTGAGGCTCTCAAGGGTGTCTGGGAACGGCTCGGCATTCGTAAGACCAGTGACTGGAAGGCCGCCGGTGGCTTCCTTGGCGTTGGATCTGCCCATGAAGAGAAGAATGTCCCTCTCTGGACAGACGAGCAACTTGGTCTCGCTGCTGGTGAGAAGTTGGAGGCTGCCATCGAACGCGAGTTGAAGGCTGAGGCAGCACATAGAGAACAGATGATCCGTGAATTGGCCGGTGAATGTGCAGCTGAGGCAAAGGAGTCTCAGTTCCAGCATACCAATCAGCCTATTTCAGCCTCTGCTTAAGCTGCTTTCCCTTCTATGCGATTGATACTACTTTTTGTGCCAGTCTCCCAACTATCGACGCTCCTTTTCTAAACTTGAATATGCCCAAGCCGAACTTCTTTTCTTTTTTGCGATAGTACTCCTTCATTGAATATGACATGCCATATTTCAATCAAATAAAGACTATTTGCAGCATCGTTTTTGATATAAGCCTTCCGGCATTTTACTATATATATAAACAAATAAATTCCAATATTTTTACTTCGGCAATTCTATTTTACTTCTATATCCTTCTCAAAATAACCGTAGCACTTACAAGACCAGATAACCTATTTGAAATAGTCGCTGATTCGAAAAATCTATCTACCTTCTCGGCGCCCTTCCTCTGCTCATCTTGGGGAATTCGACAGGAATCTTCAGCCTTGCAATTCTCCTCGAAGCAGCTTCTGCCTTACCACCCTTGATGCTCCACTTAGCAAACTCCGATTCCCTAGGCTTATCAACCTTGCAGCCCAATTCCCGGAAATACTTCAGGATTGTATCGTTCTCCAGCCGCAGGTCATCACGTAAATCTGCCGGGTCAGTGGCAAGCTCACTCACATTGCTTCCTCCTGTCTTCCCAGAAGCAGGCGGGATATGCAACGACATAGCACATATAGTGGTATGCAACAATGTGATGTCATTTCGTGAAAGGAACGAGCCCTGAGGCACAAACTTCCGACGTATCGAGTCCAGGAACGAATCTGTTATTGTGGGCGTGGTGTTTGTCTCTGAATCAACTGCCGTGGAAAGAATATGGCGCAAGTCCTCACGAGGAGGAAGCTTCCTGCTATCAAGTCCACGACCACCACCAGGAGATCGTTTGAGTGATCGAGAGAACTCGATCAGAATCAATATGAAACGAAGCAATTGCACCACAGTTTTATCGCCAGATTGAACAGCTGCTTCAACTCTGTTTGCTACAAAGCGTGATGAGGTAGTTATACCTTCTGAAGCAGCAACGGCAGCCTGCCAGTCTTGCACCGGTATTTTGCGCAGTGTAAGCAGACCACTGGGAACCAGGCTTTCGATACTATAAACATCTGCAGGTTGTGTGGCGGATAGGTTCGGTTGGGGGAGTGGTTTGGAAGCCTGGATTTCAGCCTGGGCAGACCTCTCTGCTGCCGCGTTTGTCATGTCATCCTGAGGCATGGACGAGATCAGAGCTGATTCTGCTGCTTGAGTGGATGGAGCTGAGGCGTTCGACGTTAAAGCGTTTTCTGTTATGGCGGCAACTGCTTTGCGGGCAAGCTTTGTTCCAAAAGCTGCTGCCAATGCGGCCTTTTGAGACAGTACAGTTTTCTGTGTTTTCCAACTTGTTAGCATATAGCCCGCCACTACAGATGGATAGAAATATAAACATACAGTGCCCTCTCCTTCGGATTCTTCTTCCACTTCCTCGATGGCTTCTCGCGGACATCCTCGTATCATCATTTTCCTAGCCTCCAGGAGCTGGACGGTATTGTCCTCTGGGTCGTAGACCGCAAGATAGTGGTTCAACAGGTTATCCAGCTGGTTCTCGCCTTCTCTACCGGTGAAATTAAGCTTGGGGTGTCCAGAGGTATGCAATAATGCTTCTGTCATGGCTAGATTCGCATTCTCGGTGTGCTTCATGCGCTGTTGTCGCGGTTTTATATATGTGTTTAAAGGTAATGTTTCAGGGACCGTGAGGCCAGGCGAAGAAGCTGGAATTCAAGAAATTAGCTAAGTCCATAATTCGATTCCGAGAGCATCATATCTCTTGATCAAATGTCAGTAGACGTGTTTCTGGTTATCACAGGCCACTAGGTAATTCTTTTGAATGGAATGGGGGTATACCGATGATAGGGACATGTCCTGCAGTGTTTTTCAAGTACTGAACCTTTGCTGGCTCAGGGTTGGAGTGGATGGCAGGTTTTTTGCTTGGTCTGTCATGCCGGTCCGATGCCCGTTTTCTCTTCTTTTCGACTTGTGAGCCGACCATGATGTCTATATCCGTTTAATTGTCAGGGGAATGAGGAATATGCTTGCTTCTTTGGTCGTCCTTGAGCTGTGTGAGATGGTAGTAATTGATATATAATGATTGATTGATGTCCAAGATAAAAAAAAAATTAGTCTTTGCGCCGAAGCTCCACAGAAAAGCACAAGCACACAACCACCACCCGGGGAAAAATAAATATTTACTACGAAAATGGTCGAAATCAGAGCAAGGAGCCCGTAAACTCGAACAGTGAATGACTGTTAGCGATGGACAGGGAACAAATTGCTTGAAAACCTTCGGTTTCATTCATATTCTGAGACTCGTCACTATCATTAAGGCACAAGTGACATGATAATTACAATAAGTATAAGCACATAAATCATCAGAATCGAGAAACCGTCCAAGTAACTTTTAACCATCTCTGATGAACGAGGCCATGCCTCCTTCATATGTTGATCAGCCTTGCCATCCCATGCAAATGATAAAACGCCACATGATTCAAACGCAGTTATCACCCCGCACCGCTATCGACGAAAAGAAGAGAAGAAAAATCGAAGCATCAATCCAGAAATCGGATAACGGAACCATCACAAAAAACCGCTACCACCTTGCGTTTCTGGAAAGAACTGTAAATGCCGGAGTCGAGATCAAATCGTATATTCGCAAGTGGGATTCTCGAAGTAAAGTGCGAATATTGACTGTAGGAAAGCAGAGTCGATTTGTGCGATCAATTCCGACCTTTAAATCATGGCAAAAACCCGAGTATTCGCTTTCTCCTCCAGGAAATCATGCTTTAGAAGTGTGTTGGTTTTTGCTTTCGCCGGTCACGGAGTACTGGAGTATTTGCATTGAGTTGGTTTGGCTGAGGCAGAGCGGTCAAATAGTTTACTTGCTACAGAGGGAATTAGCTATGTTATTCTTTTTTCACAGCAATGTGAGGTAGCAATTGGAATTGATATCAACTTACCTTCTGGCTCTAGTCTTACGGCGCTTACGCTTGAGGCGGCGAACTCGCTTCTTTCTCCACTTGGCTCTCATCTTCGAGAATTGCTGAGGCTGTGGATGAAAGGCAATTAGTGACTGGAAGACATCATTAACAGAACCACGATGGAAGACATACCTTTCTTCGTAGATGATGAGGATGGTTGAAGAAGAGAGGAAGTTCGTGCAAAAGCTCGAAGTAAAGATCTTTGTATGTGTGTGTGCTGACTAAGTGGGGCTAGTCTACTTCAGGAAGCGAGGTTTACTTCTCACGTCATCCAGAAGATTATGTAATACATAGAAATTCACGATAAGGGCAACAAGAGCGGGAAAGGCACAAGGGATAAACGAGAGGGAGATAGGCGAATTAAATGGAAGATAAAGGGAAATGGAATTCACTAAGATGGAGACCTAGGCAGCGCCAATGAGTAAATACTATATAGGAATATCTCGGGGCATAACACAATTTGTTATCAACACCTCCTGGAAAATAACAGCAATGAAAAAAGTCAAAGTGGCATGTCAAGTGAGTGACAAAGAGAACGTTTAAGCAGTGGCAGCAACAAGAGTCTGTGCTGACTCTTCAGGGGCAGAGGCCATATGGGACTCTCGGTCGATGCTAACACCGACTCGCTCATTCCCAAGGAGATCCGCCAACAGGGGGCTGGGGCGGTTGTCACGTCCAGGTTGGTTAATAGCCTGATTAGCCTTGTACTTCTGAACACTGTCGAGGTAAATATCAAACAGGTAAGATGAGTCAAGGGGGCCTCCCTTGGCTTCGGGGTGGAATTGAGTGCTGAAAATAGGTCGGGTCTTGTGAATCATTCCTAAATTTGATATTAGACAAGATTCCAGTGAAGGGGGGGAAAAAGAAAGAGAGCATGTTACGTACCTTCATTGCTGTTGTCATTGAGGTTAACGAAGTAGGGTTTCCAGTCACTTGGAAGAGTGCTGGCATCAACAGCATAGCCATGATTCTGACTGGTGATGTGGCATCGACCGGTAGTCAGATCAAGGGCTGGGATGTTGTGGGCACGGTTACCATACTTCAGCTTGATAGTACGGGCGCCAACAGCCAGGGCAAGAAGCTGATGGCCGAGACAGATGCCCATGATGGGAATCTGGGAGGTTTGCATCAACTTGGAAAGAGTGTGGACGGTCTGGGAGCAGTGAGTTGGATCACCGGGACCGTTGGAAATGAAGATACCATCGAAGTGATGAGCAACCTTGTAGACTGGGTAGTCATAAGGGAAGACGGTCACACTGGCTCCACGACTGACGAGGCTTCGGAGGATGTTCTCTTTCACTCCACAGTCGATGACGGCAACATGGGAGGTGCTGTTGGCAGCACTGACGTGGAAGGGAGACTTGGTGCTGACCTTACGGACAAGGTTAATCTGCTCCGGGTCAATGAAGGCTTCATCCTGGTCGGCATCATACTCCTCGCCGACGGTGATTCGAGCAAGAGAAGAGCCCTGTTCACGGAGGTAAGTGACAATCTGACGAGTATCAACGCCAGAGATAGCAGGGACACCCTCTCGGATGCACCATTCGCTCAAACTCTCAACAGCAGTCCAGTGGCTGTATTTGAGAGCGGCATCTGCAACGACGACACCGACAGCCTGGAGGCTGGGTGACTCGAAGTATTTGAGCAGGCCATGCTCGTCACGCTCCGAAGACGGAATGCCGTAGTTGCCGATAAGCGGCTGGGTAAAGACAAGGATCTGACCACGGTAGGAAGGGTCACTGAGGGACTCTGGATATCCGACAAGAGAGGTGGTGAAGACGGCTTCACCAGAGATGTTGGTCTTTGCACCAAAGGACTTTCCGTGGAAGATAGGACCGTTACGGATGGTGAGCGTGGCACGTTCGATGGCAGATGGAGCTGAAGGGGCCTTGGCAGACATGGGTCCCCCGTTCACTACGGAGGCCATCATACGTGTCTGGCCACCGAGTTGCCCACCAAACCGCTGGGGTAAGCCGTGAGCCGCATGGACCTTGAATGGCAGGGATCGAAAAGCTCGAGCAGCGAACATATTGACGGATTTTGATAGTGTGCGGGAGCTTTGACGATAGATATTAATGCTGTTCGTTCGTTGTTTGCTGAGTAGAAGAATAGGCCAGTCGGTCCAAAGGTGACTCAGTTGACTGCGGCTTTCCACAGGTGGTCTAACAATGAGTCAGTAATCGTCTCGATTTATCAACACCATAGAGTATATTCTCCGTAGAACATAAAAAGATCAAGGCCATACCTGAGATGTAGTCCTAAAGCAAAGACGACACGTTAGCATCCACATTCATCCAGCCCTCCAGGAGCTCAGCTCTCCACGGAGCCAGGGAGGAGTCATCATACTTGGGAGGTGAAAACTGAAGCGAGCACGCGCATAAGCACTTTTCTGCCCTTCAGGACTTGGATAATTTGTTGAGAAAGAAGAGAAGAAGAAAAGAGAAGACGAAAAGGCTGGTGGTTGAGCAAGACGGTGAAGTTCGCGGGTTGTTCGCGGTGGGCTTTTTGTGGAAGTTCGAAAGTTGACTGAGAGAAAGAAAAAGTTCCCGGCTTTGCGCTTTTTATTCCTTTCTTAGTAACACGGCATGTGAAGGCGGTGAGGGCCGATCGACCAGTAGGATTTCCGCGTTTTTCTTTTTCCTTCTGCGGACTGCAGAATTGGCCAATCAGAGCAGGTTTATAGCGGTAATCGCATGGTAACGCTGACAATACCTCTGCGAAGTCTGGTACATCATCGGTATTGTACTGTCACAAATTTTAGCGCTTTAACGTTTTTTTCGACGTCCGATTTAGGAGAAGCAAAAACACATATAAAAGAAGCGAAGAAGAGGACATGGAGATGATGAACAGAAGATAAATCTGTAGTCGTTGAAGGCGTTTGAGGATGTCTGAGTTGCTAAGGTCCGATGATAGAGCCGGTACAGAGTGTACTTTGGTTACTGTCCTTTATACCATGTATCCATTGGATGGCTGGCACCCACAGCTAGACTATACCATTATCAAAGCTGCATATCGCATGTCGAAGTGCTATATAAAGCCCGGAGGATACCATATACCATATTGGCCATTGTTTGGAAGGCCTCAAAGGCTTTGTTCACTGTAAGTAGCTTGGAAGACCAGAAGAGACACCATCACGGACTGGCTTATTCCGGCTATGGCTTAGCATAGAGTAGACCTAGGAGAAGATACTTCTAATATGGGGGAGACTCTGGAGATATCATATTCCTTGGTTGATATCTACCTTTAATGGGTGAGACTCGGGTTATATCAATACCACATACCACCATGCTGCCTGATTCTTTGGATATACAAATTTGGCCCTTTGCTGAGCATAGAAACCAAACTTTGGATATGATAGAACAAGAAGATAGCCACGATCATACATTTGTTTTAGCCTGTTTGATATATGTGTGATTGCTCTAGCGAAAGTACTCGCACTGTGTTGGCATGTTGATACCTTCAATGCCTTCTCTATATTTGTTGACCCAGCCACCTCAGGACAGTCTCATGGGAACAAAGCACGACGATGACCAGCCCCCCGGACGTGTTTCTGGAACAATCCGTCGGTGTCCTGTCACTTGCTCGCTGTCCTGCTCTCTATGACGCGTTGACGGCCACCTGCTCGTCGTTGCAAACCTCGCTTAGCTTTAGCGCCAAATCTGCGAGTATAAAAACCGCCTTGACGCCTCCTTTCTTCTCCTTCTTCCTTTCTTTCCTTTCTTCCCTCGAGCAAGTAACCAGATGTAAACTGGTACATCTAGTTTTCTTCTCTGCTTGCCAGTCTCAGCATCTTGCTAGGTATGTCTTCCTTCTTCATCTTGTCTTATTGATATCAGTTCTGACAGCCGCGTTTCCATTATAGACTCTCCTTTGAAAGCTACTGCAGCCACTTGATATCAAGTATCTCAAGTAAGTACTACCATTATATCTCTCTATCTTCTAGCTCTTCATATACTTACAAATTTCTCTTCTACAGGCTTTCTTTCTTAACTTCTTCTAGGGTTATCTCTACGAGGTTCCCCTGTCATGATCTACTAGATACCTCTCTAGTAGATCATGACAGTAATGACAACCACCACAACACACTCCCCTTTCTTATCTAGCTGCTAAGTTCAAGTTGATACTTGAACTTAGGTGTTTCTTTTCTTTCTTTCTTTTTTTTTTTTTTCCATCATATCTTCCCGCAAGCTCGGAGAGACTGAAGGAGAAATTAAAAAGACACACTTGTTGATGTATCCACACTGTTTTTTTAGACGCGTTGGGGGGGGAATATTCTTCTGCCCCTTACACACCTGTCAGTATTCGGCTATTAAGAAATATAAGGACTATGCATGTATCCAGTGTGTTTTCCGCGTCAATTTGCTGAATGTCTACAGTACATTCTTTGTGCATTGATTGTTGATCAGTGTATACTGTTGATGCGTTGATGCTGGAACCTGCCTGATGATGTAGGGTCTCTCTCGATGACAGTTAAAGCTCAGCAAACCAGCGTATAAATTTGAGGTAGTTATCTATAAAGGAACTATGGCTAATACTTCTACCAGCTCCAGTCTACTCCTGTCGGTGACTTCATCTAGATCTCTCTTGCGTCTGTGCATGACACAACAGTTGAGCAACACGCAGAGTATTTGCGCCCTCTATGTTAGGCAGGCTACCCACCCTCAAATTCCAAATCGCGGGCCATGATCCCCTATGCTAATAAGCTGTTCAAGTTACGTTTCACCAGAGTATTGGTTTGACCTACTGACGACCGCCGTTGGAGTTAATTCTCTACCGTGGCCGGCCGCTAACTAGTTAATTTAAGGGACAGACTTGAGTTAAAAGATTTTGATATTGATCAAAATTAACCTCGTGAGCCAATATCAACCTCACAACATCTCCCTGTTAAATTCATGTATCCTAATCAATGCTCGAGTTACAGGACAACCGACATACTTAGTACATGATGGACACAATGGAGGTCGCAGGGCTTGCAGCCGCCATTGCAGCTGCGGCTGCTTCCATAGCTGTCGGTCAGCGGCATCTCAATATAAACGAGCGTCGACGTCAACGCTACCTCCAACGTCTACGGAATCAACATCAATTTCGAGTTCAACGGCACCAGAAGAAGCAAAAGCTCGCGTCCCGCAGGTCGTCTAGTAGGAATATGCTTCAGGTCCAGGATAGATATTCCCAATATACCAACGCCAATGCTGGCGATTCCGTTTCGGACAGCGGATACGACCCGGACGTGTCTTCGGATACAGGGTCTGATGAGGGTCCGTACGCTGCACCTGAGCACATATTGCCCGCCCTTTGCACCCCTGCTCATTTCTTTCTTAAGAGATGTGTTTGGCAGCCTGACTTATGCATGGAATATCCATGGGCTTTTTCTTTTAAGATTCTGATGTCCCGCGGAAAAAACTTCGTCTTGATCAAGCAGAGAAAAAAGCCGATTATCTGGCTGTGATAGAGCATTGGTTGGACACCCAGCAGTGAGTACGTATCTACTTTCAAATCTCATGACTGTAGGTACTCATGTTTTCTTCATGTCCAGGTAATGAGTACTATCTTAAAAGGACGGGGATGGTTAACAGGGAAGGGGGTGGTTATCTCGGGGTCTTAAATGCAAGTCAGTCACCGGTTGAGATGACATGGATGAACAATGTGATGAATTATTCCGTTAAGGTATGCATTCTATGCGTGTCGGGGCATGTTAGATTTGGCTTTAGGCGGTGGGCTCTTATGGTGAGAGCAATTGTTGACTGTGATTTCTATGTAATAAGTGCTACGACTTCGCTTCTACTGATTATGATGTGTTTATGTTTAAAATGCTCATGAATAAATATAAACTGTTCGTTAGATTACCTGAGCTCTAGACTTTCATAAATATGCATGTCTCTGTATAAACTTTCGTTCTAGGTATATACTTCAAGCATGCTACAAGTAGAAAGCAAGGACAGTGAGAGCTGATATTGCCAGCATTGCAACAGGAGCCTTTAGCATGGCACTTCCAGCGGTAGGGGATGCTGTGGGAGACGAGGTCGTGGTTGGTGGAGGGTTTCCCTTCGATGCAGCAGGGCTCTTGATAATGTAGTTCTCAACAACTGCAGTTCCATTCTCAATGGCATTAAGCTGCTCCGGCGTACAAGTTCCGTCAGCACTGAGGAGGTAGCAAGTCGGCTCTGGTGAAGGAGGGATTTCGTTTTTGACTTGGAACGTAGACTCAGTTCCAGTGGTACCGTAGTCTTGTTTCTGAGCGATGTCGAGCTCTCCGGTAGCAATATCCTTGTTGAACATGATACGCTCAAAGATCTTGAGGGAAGTCTCCGGTTGGTAGCCAGGAACTTCATGGCCGGCCTCGAAAACTCTGGTGAAGGAGAAGTTTCCATGTTGACGCACTAAGCCTCCGACGTATGAAGAGTTGACCTTGACATCGGCATATCCTGCCTTGCGGAAGGCTTCAGTGCCAGTGTAGTTCAAGCCGAGACTGACCTGCTCACCACCGAGCCAATTGCAGATGTAGTCTCTGTCACCATAGACGAGAGCAACCTTGACTCCGCTCTCGAGAAGATAAGCAATGTCACCGGTGAAGCCGCGCACATCAGGGCGAGCGTAATCGCCCACGCCGTGGAATGATTTCCCCACAGCTTGGGAGTAGTGACTGAAGTTGACTGGCGATCCCATGTCGGACAGGACGCTGGATTGGCTGAGGAAGCCCTTAAAGAATGGTGGGGGGAAGGGATCCTGAAGAGGATGGGCAATATCATAGTAACCAAGGTTGGCCTCTTGGAAAGGTTCCATTAGATATTTGTCGCAGTCAGAGTTAGCTTCCGCACAGATTGCGTTGACGGTCGCATTGTTGCTGTAGAAGTGAGGGTCTCCTTCTTTGGCGGCCTCACGGCACTTGGCAAGCTTGTCGAAGCAGCCGTCGGGACGGTGGATGTCGCGTATTATAGCATCGCGCTTCTCTTTGGTATAAGCCGTGATACCATAGGTGTTGTTGTATGGGAATTCAGCATAACTTTCTGCTTGGAACATGAGATCGATGCAGCCGTTGATGACACCGAGGGTGTCGAGGTTTAGGATATGCATCTCGCCTTCCTTGGTAATGGTATGGTTCTTGATCTTTTCATTCTGCTCCTGGAAGTAAGAGGCGAATGAGGGACCATATCTTCCTCCATAGGACTCGGTCCAGATGCTGATCTTGTTATTGTTAGGCTTGTGTTCAGGGAATTCCTGGAACCACACTTGTGCAAAGTGCCAGATAGAACGAGCAGCGTTCACAGTGTTGTTGGCAGTTGCCCAAGGTTTCTGGCTGCTACCAGTTCCAACCAACGTAGAGAGATTTTGCGCGGGGACACCGCTAGAAAAGTCAGCAACAGATATCGTATCATTGATGGTAGAGTAAGTGATGTTGGTAAGCTCGTCATAACTGAAACCGACTTGGTTTGGTTGATCAATGTAGAGCATGTTTACTCTATTGTTCCACGAGAATGAGTTGTTGGTGGTAGATTTAGAGTCATCATTGATCCAGCATGGGCCGTTTTCCTGGAAGAGTCCTATCATGGATGATGATCCCGGACCACCGTTCAGCCAGATGGAGAGAGGAGCATTCTTGGGGTCTTCACGAGCTTCAAAGAACCAGAAGAATGTATTGATGGAGTAGTTCTGGTAGACACCAAAGTAATCGTTGTCTGGAGGGAGGTGGACATGACCGGTGAATGATCTAACTCCTTCTGTGGTTTCACATATGTCATTCTATCCAGTGAGTCAGCCAGATTGCTTGTAGGATACAAGCTCAGGATGTGCAAACAACGTAAATGCATACCTCCTTGTATGTGATCTTTACGTTTTCGTCGTACTTGGATTTGACCACAGTGACGCCCATAACGGGTGGAGGGAAGCCTTGAGCACTGGCAGCGCCAATGACTGGCAGGGCCACCGCAATGCTAGCGGCCAAGCGCATCGTGGAGGTATGTTGCTGAATGGACAAGAAAAGAGCAGAGACACAGTATATCAGCCACCAAAGCTTCCCACGAGCTTCGCCTCCTGGTCAGTGCTCCTGGAAAAATAAACCATCCTCCCAGGCGGACACTAAAGGCCCTTTTATAGTGCTCCGTCAACGAAAAGAAAAGCAAAACGAAGGGGTAAACATGACACCCTTCATGGGAAACGTAAAGGATGCGGGGAAAGCATCATTTCGTCCGGGGATATGGGAAGAGCTTGCTTCAAGATTGATCTTGATACAGGGTTTAAGTGGAAGCTGGCCAATGACAGAGATGTCGATCCCCGGAAGATGCCTGATGCATGGCCAATTTTGGGTGATGGGTCTCAGAGAGATCTCGTCGAGGCAAGCTGAGGGCACCAAGGTATGTTTTAACGGCAAATGCAATCTTATCACCCATGTTCAGCGAGTAACTTGCTGGCGGAATGAAGCGTACCCTTGCCTAGACTGACATCAAGCCTGTCAAGCCTCTCTCAGCAAAGCTTCGATGAAGTCTCCCCCACAGTTATCTCGTACTCACACGTCCTTCCGGCTGTTCTCGGCATCTTTGAGGCAGCCAACTGCTTGGGCGCAAGATACGAGACGGCCGTTGGTTCTCCAGGGCCAACCCTGGCCCCGTATAATAATGATGTTATCCCAAGCAGCAAGGGATGGTGTGATTCAAACGTAGTTTGCGGTCGCCCTTGGAAACCAATTCATGCATTAGTTAGTTAACGAGTTAGTGAACTAACCTAGCGAGCTATCGGGTGGTCCAGGCTGTAGTTATCTTTACACACCCGGATGTCGACATGGCTTCAGAATTGTGCTGTGGATTCTGATTTGAACTTTGGCGGTTCAGGCTGCGTGGACATTTTCGTATAACTAACTAGTTAACTAGTTATACGGAGTGCAACCATGCGCACCGATGGAGGATGACATTGAAGACGGGCTTTCTCTGGCCGAACTATTCCCAGCCAGCGGATGCCTAGAGACCGCTTCAGAGTCTTATAAATCATCACCATGTAACCAAGAGATACCAACAAGTTGGGCACTGTACTGGAACTGCTGCTTCCACTTGGTCAACCAGCCCAACATTTACTCCGTACACTAGTTAAAATACCCTTTGACCCTCGAGCTTTTCCTCTAGCCCGGCCAGGATGGAAGCGGACGTCGGATTTTGCTTCCCCATCAGGGAGCTCACCAGCGCGTTGGTGAAACTTAAGCTGTTCGATGTAAGAAGCCCACGGTCCTAGGCAGTTTTATGACTGTGGTGTGCGCAGCCAGGTGTAGCTGGCCTGGCATCGCGTCGACGGAGTTCGTTGTAATTAACCGGTGGTTATCTATGGTTCCAGCCAGTCCGCCACTCGAAGACGTTCATCGAGCAGACAGCCGATAAGCCGGAGATATTTGCTCATATGCCGATCGGGCCATTTGCAGATGTCGAAGAGTTCCAGACCAAGTACTTCTACCCGCAGGTGTGCAGGAGTAACACCAGAGTGGCCTTTGCCATCATAGACAAGACCAAACCAGGCCCGTCGGAAGATGGAGGAGCTTTGGCAGGAATTGTGACATATTCCTACGCCTCGGTGGATAATCAACTGCTCGAGATCGCGTTCATGGTCGTCTTCCCGGAATTTCAGCGGACGCATGTGACGACTCATACGATAGGACTGATGCTGCAGTATGCACTGGATCCTCCCGACGGCAGTGATCCGGCAAAGGGGGGGCTAGGCTTGCGCAAAGTGCTTTGGCAGACTGCGACGACGAATGCAGCCTCCCGGGCAACGGCTAGGAAGATGGGATTCGAGCAGGAAGGGATTCTGCGGTGGGATCGAGTGTTTCATGACGCCGTGCAGAGAAAGAAGCAAGGCAATGGCAAGGAGATGCCAGCTCACGCAGACAAGAAGGCCGTGGGTAGAGACACAGTGTACTGTGGACTGTGTTGGGATGAGTGGGAAGACGGGAAGAGGCAGATGGTCCAGCAGCTGATGGACGGCTTTTTGCACAAATAATCATAGAGAAAAGGCACAGCGGGCAGGTTGTAAATCAGCAAGGCTAAAGACAAACAAAAATATACAAGTCTATTATATAAAAAAAAGAATATTGACTCCGCAGAGCCCTGAAGTTTTGAAGAGAAAACGCCAAAAATAGGAATTAGACCAAACGCAGCAGCTGACAGGCTGAAACACATCTCTCAATATTTCATTCCAACTTCAAGCAGATACTTGATGCGTATCTGCGCCACATCGTACACGATATACTCGTTGTACTGAAGCCATACACCATTACTAGAATCCGAAGCAAGCGGGTTAGAGCAGTCCGGCATCAAAACACCGGCGAGGTCTTTGTGAACACAACCGGCGTCCTTCCATCCGCTAGGGATAGCTTGTCCACGACCCAAAGTAGCCAATTTATTAGCTTTCTTGACCAAGTCGCCAGCGCGGTAGTCGGAGCTGGTCAGTTCAAGCATTGAGTTGCCTACTTCAACATCGCAAAGCATGAGTAAGCCAATGTTGTCGCTGAGGTCATGGTAGCAGTAGTTGGCTGATTTGCTCGAAACATCAGCAAAGTAGACACCTTTACCGAACATGTAGCCGGTAACGGGGGCTTCGGGGGGAGCAATTCGGAGTCCCTGGCTGAGGATACCACCGTAGTTGGTGGTACGGGAACCGTGCCAGAGTAGACGACGGCAGCTGTTTGGAATGTTGGCGTAAGGGGATTTTTCATAGCGTTCGTTTTCTCCATGACGCTCAACGCGGAAAATGTTGCGCAGCTGATCACACACAGTTAATTCAGTTGTCTTGCCTGTAGCATTGTTGGAGTCGGTACTTACGTCGTATTTAATGCTGTGTGTAGCACCGTGAGATCGAGTAAGATATTCTGCCAACTCGGTGAACTCAGTTGATGCGTGGTCAACTAGAAAATAACTCCGTTAGTATAAGAGAGGTAGTAAGAAGCATTGTATAGGGGGACCTACGAGGAGTCATTTCATTAAGACCAAGTCCCAGGAACTGTCTGTCAAGAATATGAACGGGGTTATCATCATCTTCCTCGGAGGCACTCATAATCTTGCTACTGATCTCCATATCAGTCAGTGCTTCCAACATCTCAACCTCCTTCTTAATTTGCGGTGCCGATCTCAGCACAGGCGGCCGATTCCTACCGAACGCATGAGGAATCAAGGAGAAATATTGGTTACTGAGTCTGTTGATGTCGGCGGGAGACTGTGCTGCCTTAACGGGGTCATGCACCAGTGCATCCAACTGCTTCAGGATCTCAAAGCCCTGGAGGAGAGTCTTCTGGCTAAGATTTCCCAATGGCAGTTTCTTCGCGTCGTACGACATGTCCTCCATAGCGGCGTTCAAGTGAGTCTGGTTGAAGATCAGTGCAACGAGGTCCTGCACGGGCTTTACCAAAGTACATTCTGCCTTTTTGATCTCCTTTGGCTTGTTGTCTTTTGGCTTGTCCTTTTTCGGCTTCTTGGCCGATTCGTCCTCATAGGATCGTTCCAGATAAGTGTACTTGTTGTTCTTTGGAGCATCATTCCTCTTGGCCCAGGCGAGGCCGCTCTTGTCTTTAAACTTCTTCTCAAAAGTGTTCATAGCCTGGTCGAAACTTGAGGCCTTCAGGTGAGAGATCTGGCCCTTTTCGCCAACCCTGCCCCACCGGGTCCACGTGGAGAAGTCTCCAGAATTCGGGCCCTCGAGGAGTTGGATGAAGTAAAATTTGTTGTTGTTGGCGCCTGAGTCGGTTTTGTTCAGGGCAGCGTCAAAGACAACGCCTTTATCTTGCCAGACTTTGTACGAACCTAGATAGGAAATCATGTTAGACACTGGTTGATATTGGATGAATGTTTATGCAACTTACTCTTGTTTGGAACGGGATCATCAACCGGGACATTAAGAACAGACTCATCATTCTTGGCAGCCTTGGTATCTTTTGTAGCCTTTGTAGGTTTAGAATCTTTAGTATCTTTAGTATCTTTAGTATCTTTGGTATCTTTGGTATCTTTAGTGTCTTTGGCGTCTTTGGCGTCTTTGGCAGCCTTTGCTTTGGTCTGGGTTTTGGTATCTGCCGGATCAGCCTTCTGCTTCTTCGCAGGTGGCTGATCAGCAGCATCGTCCTCATCATCCTCATCCTTCTTGTTCTTAGCCGTCTTCTTAGCCTTTCCATTGGTCTTTGCAGGCTGTGACTGGGCTGGAGGCTGAGACTGGACCTGCGATTGGGATTGAGACTGGGACTGGGACTGGGACTGGGACTGAGACTGAGATTGAGTAGTCCTGCCAGATCTTCGAGGACCAGTACCGTCTACCGAAGGCTTCCCCGGAGCCGGCAGAGCAAGCGAATACGGACTCTCGTCCATATGCGTCTGCTTATCGCGCGAATCAGTCAACCAATCAAGAGAAACGATCTTAATATCGTTCCCTAGCGCAATAGCCTGCTGGTCTGCAAAGCGTAAGTTGTACTGTCCCAACGTATGAATTGCCGAGCAATTGGAGGTAGAATTGGATCCGCCATTGTCAACGGTACATGTATCCGAGGAGATCGAGTAAGGTGCAAAGGAGAGAAAGGTCCTATTTACTCTTTGTACCGGCCGGATGCGCAGCCTTGGAAGTGACGAGATGTGTACACGCATCGGTCACCGTAGCGCTAAAGGTACCGCCCAGCTGTTCAACGATGTACTTGATCGTTTCTAGAATGGGAACTCGTCAATTGGCTGATAGGGAAAAGGGTGGGACAAGCGAGTCAAGGACAATTGGGTGATGGAATTGGGCTTACCATGGTTATACGCTCTGAAGCTGCCGCTGACTACAACGACTTGACCTGCAAGTGGTTTGGACATGGCGAAGGGGAGAGCGAGAGAGAGAAAAAAAAGGGGGCCAACGAGGCAGGGATTAGAAGAGAGGGCGGATGGATGTCTTACTGTGTGCTGGGGAGATGAAAGGGAAGTTGAATTGGATGGGGAAAAGGGGGCGCGAGATGCCGTATTTATATCAACAACGCAGCTGCGGCTGCGGTGCCAGCAAAGTTGACAAGGCGCGCGCCGAAGCCTAAAGTTGCGGGAAAGCTAAAAAAAGCCGCCTCCCAGGCTGCAGCCCCTTTTAGGCTAAGCGCCGACACCTCCGTGCGGCTCTGTGATTATGTAAGTGGCGCTAAGAGCCAGGCAGAAGTGGCTGCCTGACGGATATTAATGGGTGGACAGCAAAGACGAGAAAAGGGGGGCGGCTGTGGAAGGAATATACAGCGGAGTTTTCATATATGCATGGTTTAAAGTACATTTCTGCGTGAGGGTGGATAGGACAGGATAAGAAGAAAGGAAAAAAGGTACTCCAGGAACAGCAGGTCAGGCCGAAAACAGCAAAGACAGCAAAAGCAAAGAACAGCCCCGGTGGATATCTCGAAATAAAAAAACAGTTTGAATATGAACAGTGAAACGCCCTCCTCCCAATCCGTTCTCGTAGCATGGTACAAAGGTATATTCTCGGCGTGAGAAAAAAACAGCGGGAAAAAAGACAACCCAAGGGGTACTGTGATTAAAAAGCGTACAGGCAAATCAGAAGCAGAAGCAGACCAGCGCGCATTGCTAGAATATAAGAAGCAGATGTAGAGACCAGAAATGTAAGATGTATAGGAAAATCAAAGGTAGTGTAGGTCTGGTATAGATGAAAGTTTTTGGAGATTAAAAGATAGCTAGATGGTCGTAAGGATAGTCGTGGGCGATAAGGAGATGTATAATGATGGCAGTAGCAGTAGAGGAATAGATCTGTTTATATATGGTCGTCTGAAGGGAATGCGCCAGGGGCGAGAGAATGTTCTTCAACAGTTTTTTCGGAGACTTTCTCTGGTTCTTCTTTATGTTCATCTTTGGGTTCATCTTTGGGTTCCTCTTTGGGTTCCTCTTTGGGTTCCTCTTTGGGTTCCTCTTTGGGCTCCTCTTTGGGCTCCTCTGCGGGCTCCTCTATGGCGTCTAACTCCGCGTTGGAAGAAGAAGAATGTTTCGATGCAGTTAGATCTGTCTCAGGGAAAGCATCAGACTCCGATGCGAGAAAGACAGACTTCGACAAGGGAGATGTCGATTTGGGAGAGGTAGACGTGCGCCTGGACGTATGAGACGTATGAGAAGTATGTGAATGCAACGAAAGGTTAGATCCACGGCGTTTCGTAGCTCCCTCAGAAACATCAGATTCATGCGAGACTTCCCTGGCCAGCGGCTGAGGCAGATCAGTGTCTGATTCCAGACTAAGTGCCAAGAGGCCCGAGTCTCTGGCTTCAGAGAGCGTGGCGACGGTGGAGAGTGTTCGGCCTGGGTTCCGGGCGGGCAGAGCAGGGGGGTTTCGTTTCGGAATGGTAACGAGCTTTGCTCGAGCGAAGGGGGAGCTCTTGGAGTTGATTCGTTGCGGGATAGCTTGCTCGGCTACTGCGACGGAGAACTCTGTTTCAGGAAGTGATTCAGGGAGTGATTCAGGCAGAGACGACTCGGGGATGGCCTCGGGAACCTTAGAGGATATAGAATGTGCGCGGGACGTAGCTGATGATGCAGGGATGGGTATTGAGGCCGGGTCGGGTTCGCCTGTGGACGAATGTTCTGTGTCAGAGGTATGTTCGTGTATGGAAGAGGAAACGTCCTTGATGCTGTGGGAGCGAGATGAAGTGTGGCTGGCCGTGGAGGGACTTCGCCGCCCCCGGTCGAGCTCGTCGAGATTGGTCTGTGTGCCCTTATCGGTGCTCATGGCGCTCTGGGTGCTAGAGCGCCAGCTGCTTCTGTTGCTCCATCTTGGACTGATGGGGCTGGTGGGACTGGGCCGGAAGTCAAAGACGTCGAGCGTGGGAGTGCGCTTGGTGCCAGCTTCGCGGATGATGACACCCTCGCGCTCGAGGGCCCTGACGCCGTAGGGATCCGGGTCGTCTTCCTCTGGCACTCCAAAGGTTCCGGCGAGCGAGATCTCGGCGTCTCCGGGAGCTTCTCCGGGCGGAGGGAGCAGCGCTTCGTCTATATCCTGGTCACCCTGGGCTGCCTTGAGGGTCTGGATCAAGGTAGAGATAGATGGAGGAGGATGCTTGGCCTTGCCCGAGAGGATCTCTGAAGCGCTGATTTTCTGGCCGTAGAAGCGCTCGTTCTCGTCTGTCCGTTCGATAACGATGGTTCCGTCGACCTGGACGCCGGCGTAGAGACCTCTGCTCTTGAGATAGGACCAGATGGGAGCCTGTCGCTTGTGCACTTCGGAGTCTAGCACGCCTCCCACACCGACTGGACCGGCCACGGCGCTTAGCGAGCCGCCCAGGGTGCATCTGAGCGTCTTGAAGGCGTCGAGGGCCTCGTAGGTGTTTATGACCACCACGCAATCGTAGATGTCGACTCCGACGAGGAAGCCCAGGCTGGCGGTATGTAGCATGATTCCTGATGGCGGACTCCATTCTCCCGTCTCTGCCAGACGAGCAACGAGGACTCCACTGCCACCAGCGCCGCTGACCCACAGACCGGTTCGCATGGTAGTGAAGATGGCCAATCCTTTGGCCTGTCTGATAACAGAAGCAGGTATCTTCTTAATCGCCCGCTGCTGGGTACCGCGAGGCCCCTGCTCCCCCTGCTGTGGAGGCGGCGTCAACGGAGGAGGCTGCAGTTGTTGTTGGGGTTGTTGCTGCTGCTGCTGCTGCTGCTGTAGATGCTGTTGCTGCTGAGGCGACTTTGGCGACTGTAGAGGTTGCAGGCTGAATCTCCATGAGAACCGGCTGCGCTGGGGCGATGCGCGAGCCTCTGCCGGCTTCATCTGCGGGCTGCTGGTATGGCTGCCGCCGTCCCTGTCCGAGTCGAGCTGGCCGTAGAAGCCGTCTCTGCAGAAGCTGCGGAGAATGCGCGCGGCCTTCTCGCTCTCCTGGTCGAGCGTCGTCGGCCAAAAGGCCTCTGCGCCAAGTCTGTTGGATAGACGGTTGACCGGCCGTCCAATCCTGTCCAGCTGGTGCCATGCTTTGTCGAAGCCGCGCTTGGAGTAGCCCTTGGTTCGTTCCCATGTCGACGTTGACGTCGACGTCTGTGACATGATGTAGTAGTCGTAGTAGTAGCTTGCAGTCCCTTGATGGCCGAGAACCGACGCCAACAAGAAGAAGCTGCGGAAGAAGAGAAATAAAACAGAAAAGAAGAAGCCAGACCAAGAAGCAGGTCAAGGGGGACAACAATAAAGGAAAGACGACGGCTGTCTCAAAGCTGTCGGTGCTTCGATCTGCTGCCGGCCGTTCAGGATCGGGAGAAGATTGTAAGTATATAGAGAAATGAAGAGAGGGGCCGAAGCGGAACCCTCCCTTGGGCCGTCTCGTCCTCTCTTCTGCTTCTGCTGCTCCCCCCCTTTCTTCGCCGGCTGCCTGGGTGTGTGTGTGTCTGTCTGGCAGGCTGTGTCTCCTTGCAAGCTGCTGATGCTTGCTCGTCTCCTGCCGGTGCTTGTGGTGCTGGGGCCTGCTGAGTGTGTTGAATGCGATGCGAATGCAAGGGTGTTTCAGGCCAGATGACCCCCCCCCTTGCCGGCCGCGCAGCCCCAGCAGCGGCAACAAAAAAGACCAAACAGCAGAGAAAAACTGTTGAAAAAGCTAGTTGATATGGAAATATAGGCAAAAGGAGAGGCAGATCAGAAAGCGAAAGAGTAATAAGAAAAGAGAGGGAAGAATCTAATAGTTGTTCTCCTCAAGCAGGGACCGGGCCGGTTTTGCCTTGTGGAACGACGGCGAGGAAGAAGAAAAAGAAGAAGAGAAAAGGAAAAGCCGGCGAAGGAGCAGGAACTGTCTATATAGTATATGTATAGACCCGCAAAAAGGAGCGCCAGGCTGTAGATGCTGCAGTATATATGTAATGTAAGTGTATATATATCAGACAGAAGATTGGGAAAACAAGGTGCGATCCCAGCTCGATGGATGGCGATGGCAGGCCACAACTCCACGCCGCGCGAACCAAACGCAGGTTCGTTCAATGCAGCAGCTTATCTGGCGTGTCTCGGCCCAAAGAAAGCTTTTAACAAGAAGACCCAAGAAAAGAGAACCAAGAAAAGAAGACCAAGGAAGAGCCGGCTGTCCGTTATATTATTAGACTGCGCCAGTAGCTAGCTCGCCCGGCCACGCCGCCTCGCTCGCCTGGGATAGTTATCACGAAGCCGAAGCGAAAGAAGGCAATGGAGAGGGAGAGAGAGAGGAGAAAAGAACTCGAAAATCCTTCTTGGTGGCTTCGGGTCTCTTTTTACCTCTCCCCTTTGGTTGGCATGCATGCAATCAGTCGGCTCTTGGTCTTTCTTCAGCTTAGCTAGTGGGCTAGTTGCCTTAGTCCTTGCGGCGTTGCTGGTTTGCTGGTCCCCCAAACGTCATCGGTCCCAGCAGGCGAAGGGCCGGAGTCAGGGATACCTCTGGCCACCGCGCTGTGGCTGCCTGGCCGCGAGTACCTGGTACCTGCAGGGCGAGGCCGTCTCGCTTAGCTACATGGAAGCACCGGCAGAGGCTGCGGAGCCACAGGAGCCAGCGAGGAGCCAGAGAGGAGCCAGCTGGAGAATCCTTCCTTTTTTTTTTTTTCCCATCTTCATATCACGGCTGTTATTTTCTGAGCTGTAGCGTGTCGAGGGTAGATTAACTGGAGCTCGAGGCGCTGCGCAAGGGTATATCAGTCGACTTATGCAGATCTCCTGCACTCCCAGGGTCTCACAGATCACAGGCATAAAAGTGACTAGTAGGAAAAAGTGATGAGGAAAGACAAGAAAAAAAAAAGGCAAAAAGGCAAAAAGGAGAAAAAAGCTCCTAGCCAGGATCGAACTGACGTCGTCGGAATCAAAATCCGATGTGCTACCACTACACCATAGAAGCATAGCTAGTGGGAGTCCCGGGATTGAGTGCTAGAAGAGAGTCCTGGGTAGTTGGATATCAGATAGCAGATAAAAGGGACAGGAGATGATGAAGGGGAAGCAGAGGAAGGAGAGTAGTTAAGCAGAAGAGTAAGATAGTGGAAAGAGTACTTGGGTAGGTGAATAGGTGAAAGTGGTAGTCTATTTTACCCTGGTTACCGGTGATGTACAGGACTGCAGACATGACAGTAGCAAGCCGTTACTTGCCCATACCAAAAGACAGACAGACACAAGACAGAAGACAAGACAGAAGACAAGGAAATCGTTTCGTCTATACTATATTTACAAGGCTCCAAGGTCCTTCAGCTTGGAGATGAGGCCGTCGACGTCCTCGACTTTGCTGCCACCCTGTCTCGTCGGTGGTTCTATCACAGTCATAGTTAGCTAGGATCCATACACGGAGAAAGTAATCGAATAGTAGACATACCCGTAACTTTGACAGTGTTCAGCCGTCGAGACTCGTCCAGTCCAAAGTCCGCAAGCGTCGCCTTCTCAATAGGCTTCTTCTTCGCCTTCATCAGGTTCGGCAGCGTCGCAAACTTGGGCGTGTTCAGCCGCAGGTCCGTCGTGATAATCATCGGCAGCTTCGACTCCAGCGTCTCAACACCCCCGTCCACCTCCCTCGTCACCTCCACCGTTCCCTCGCCGTCCTTGACAGTCACTTTGCTCGCCTGCGTAGCCTGCGACCAGCCCAGCAGCCCAGCCAGCATCTGGCCCGTCTGGCCATGGTCGCCGTCAATAGCCTGCTTGCCCAAGAAGACTAGGTTGATCTTCTCCTTTTCCACGACCCCCTTCAGCATCTTGGCGACTGTCAGCGGCTCCAGGCCAGAGTAGAATCCCTCCTTGGCCTCGGGTACCTCGACGTGCATTGCTCGGTCGGCGCCCAGGGCCAGCGCGGTTCGAAGGACGTCGACGGTCTTGGGCCCGCCGGCGGAGACGGCCAGTACCTCGGAGACCTTCATGGGCGACTTGCTGTCTTTTCGCAGGCGGGAGGCTTCTTCCATCGAGAGCTCGTCGAAGGGGTTCATCGCTTGTCGCATGCCCGTGATGTCGACGCTGGTCTGTGACTTGCCGATGCGGGGTTTGAGCTGCTGTCAGTTAGCATCTGCATTGAATCTTCATTGACCGTCTTGGTCGAATAGAACGTGGAATGAGAGTATCAAGTGGTGTCTCTTTGAGGTATCGTCAAGCTCAAGGGGGGTGATATGCAGCTTCACCGGCCCTCGTGGTCACCTCGGCAGGAACAGGATGGGCACTCACGGTGTAGTCGAGCACCCGCTTGACGGGCACTAATATCCTCAATGCGCTGGCCATTGTGAAATGTGTCTCTGATCTCGTCTGTCCTTGACCCGAGAAAAGCTCTTCTCAACTCTCGTCCAGGGCGTGTATAATAATAATAAGATGGGTTATCTCGACAGCCAAGTTGTCGTTTTGCGTTGCTTTGCCTGCCACGAAAAAAAGGGCCGAGCAGGGTCGTCTGTGCCAAGCCGCGGTTCTTTTCGGACGGCGAGGCCGAACGTCGGCTCTGGGCGCCTCATCGTCAACACTGAAGTCTACTACTACTACTAAGTAGTTATTCAACAGTTGATATTCTAGCTATCCTATCCACTAGTGTAGTTAACTACCACGTCTCCTGCTTGTATCGCCCGACCTTCTCCATGTCTATCAGGTACTTCTCCGCCATCTGTCTGCTCTCTGCGGAATCGCCCAGTGGAGCCTGGAAGGCCTCTATCAGCGCCTCCCGAACAGCCTGGGGCATCCGGCCAGACGAGCCACACACAAACACCGACCCTCCCTTCTCGTGCAGCAGCTCATAGAACATCGAGGAGTTCTCCCGCAGCGCATCTTGAACATAGTACTTCTTCTTCTGGTCTCGCGAAAAGGCCGTGATCACCCTCAAGTTGAGCTGGGCCTTGAGCTCTTCCCACTCACCTTCAAAGAAGTAATCTGCTGCCTTGTTGCGCCCACCGTACAGCAGTATCACAGGCCCAAGAGTCAAGGGCTGCTCGTCTGGACCGCGGTTCTGGTTCTTCTTGTACTCCTCGGCCATCGCCGCTTTTTCCCACAGCAGTGACCGTATTGGAGCAACGCCTGTTCCGGGACCAATTAACACAGATGGGTCAGAGAGCTGTTTGGCTGAAGAATGGAGTCCCCCCTTTTGCACCTGCACTTTCAGCGTGCTTCCAGGCTGCAAAGCAGCTAGATACCGCGTACAAACCCCTTGGCGGATCCTCTTGATCACAGTCTGGTACTTGACAATGGCAACCAGCAGCTCAAAGCGTGTACCCCCACGCGCCGAGGTCTTGAGCTTGCCGCCACTTGCCAGACTGAACTGTCTTCCTCGAAGCACCGGCAGAACGGAGCAGACCGATGGCCATGGAATCTTAACGGTATCAAACTCAGCCAAGACCTCCAGTATGCTTCGTCTCGGCCGGGTGGTATAGTCGTAGAACTCATCTATGTACTCTGGATTCGTGAACTCTAAAAGTCGCTCTTTGTGCATCTCGTCACTTGTGAAATGGGCAATCTGACTGAAAAATGACCGTCTGGGAATGGCCATGATGTCTAGATAGTCGGTAAGAAGCGTGCGGAGAGTGAAACCAGGTGAACCAAGCAAGAAGGGAATTGACGGTGCAGAGACCGAGGCTGACGCAAGGGAGCCATCGCCAGTCACAAACTGTAGAGGTATATCGGCTTGTTCTTCCCAGCCCATCAGTGATATAAGTCTATCTACATCCTGGGGGAAATTCCGAGGAGTGATGTGGAGTATATCCCCCGGTGCATAGTTTATTGACTCCGAGGCAGTTAGAACCAAATGTCGAACATCCTGCCAGTGGTCTGACGGCGTCATTCGAGTGTTGTCTGTAAGTGTTGCCGAAATGGACCCTGGGAGTGGGCGGGTATCATGATCCGGAGAATTGGCCTCCTTGGCTCTAGACGGTTGCTTTGGTCTAGTATCCCCATCTTCGTCCTTCAAGTCATAATGGTCTAGAATCCATTTGGGTGGTAGACGGAAATCATCAGGAATAGGATGTTGTCCTTCCTTCAGAGGGAACTTGTCAAGAAGATGCTTCCGCAAGTCCAGAGACCAGGGCAAAAAGGTCCCTTCAAGCCTAGTTCCCTGTTAGCCAGCATATATATTGTTAAAAAAAAGCAGATATGCATACCCCTCTGGATGCTGCTCATCTGCTTCCCCGCGCGGATATAGCTCGCTTGCTCCTAGTTGTAGTAGCCGCCTATACAGTTTCCTGGACGCCCAGTTGAACCTGATATCAAATTAGTTAGCCATCGACCAGTCTCACACACACAACAAAAAAAAAAAAAATAAAATAAAATAAAAAGCCATACTTTGGATAGGAGCTATCCCCCAGCCCAAAGAGAACAAAGCTGACCCCTTGCAGGAACGTAGGAGGCAGTCTTTTCAGGAGCAGCGATCTCCAGAACTTGCGCCCATTGGCAGGGAAATCTCCTTGTCCGGTAGTCGGCACTACAAAGACAGTAAACCGGTAGCCATACAAGTCCCTCTACATCAACAAACCCTTCGTCAGCTACATTATCCAGCCACAACAAAGGGCCATAGAGAATCAACAACTTACAGGCTGCAGGGCATCAAGCTCAGCTACTCTTGTCCTGAAGTACAGCCGCTCCGTCAGCCGGCCGATCTCCTCTGCCGCATCCTGGGAGTTGCCCGTCTCTGAGCCATAGGCGATCAAAGCCGTTCGGAGAGAGCTATCTTTCTCCACGGTCGCCATTGAAACAGTCAAAGAGCCCTCCTTGTCTCCTCCAGCTCATCGTGTGCAGTCTCTCAAGGGGGACTGGATTAAAAAATACTCTAAACAATGACTCTTTCTTCGCTTTTGTGCCGCAAAAAAAAGAGAAAAAAGTCATGACATCACCAGAACCGCCAAGCGCCCCTTGTTTTCGTTTCCCCTGGCAGAAGCATCAACACGGTCAAACAGCTGCATCCGTTGATCTCCCACCACAGGCTGCTTCAGGAGAACAATGCTGATAGAGGATGACTTTGTACATATACCAATACAAGGAAATGATGGTCCGCTTACGGAGGGCAAGCAAGTCTGTTTCTTTCTCTCCAATGGATAACAATATACCCTCCTCAGACTGCCCTTTTCTCCTCTGGACAATTACTGAGAATTACACCTTGATGAGCACTGGGAGATACCTGTCAAGATGAAGCTCACTATAAATACCCTTTGCCTTCTAGGACATGGAGCTCCTCAGCCTATACCGATATTTTCTTTCCACAAAGATCTAGTTATACCAAAGCAGCCGAGATCTTCATCTCTCAATTCTATATATAAAAAAAATGGCACAGTGTGAAATGAAAAAGAGCCTATTAATATCGGATACGATGCCTGGCAGGGCCTTGGGGATGCCGTTGTACCAGGAGAAGACGGCGTCACCCCGCGCTATGCGATGGAGTATTTCATCGACAGTATCTGCTGGGGAAGAGTCATCGAAAAATGCTATTACCTCCGCCAGGGCGTATACTGTTTTCTCTCTGAGGTACATACATCTGGAGAAACGAGCCATATTCGCAAGATAACCTTCGAGGATGGCGTGCAATGGGTTATTCGGCTTCGTCTTCCAAATCCCACTACAGGGGAGGAGGACATCGGTGTCCGGACGTGCTACGAATCGCTGAAATATCTCAGGTACACGGGTCCTTTTTTTTTTTTTTTTTTTTTTTTTTTTTTTTTTTTTTTTTTTTTTTTTTCCATTGTGGTAGAAAATGCTGACCCAAGGATTATAGAGATGAGACGACGGTACCCGTTCCAGAGGCCTATTATTGTGACGCCTCGCTGAGCAACGCAATAGGCGCACCGTATATATTAATGGACTATATACACGGCACGACAGCCGAAAAACTCAGGAAGAACCTGGGATACCGCGAAAATGAATTTGGGTCAGTCGACGAAAATATAAACTTCAAAAGAGGCCTTGCTATGATACAGGTGGAACTGGCAAGCAAGAAGTTCAACCGTATAGGCCGCCCTCGCCCAGCTCCCCAGGGAGGGTATTATGTCGCATCTACACCTACAGAGGCAGCCCATGATACAAGTGGTGCGTTTTACAGGCGTTTAACCTCAAATCTCCTCCGCGAGGCAAGGATGAGTGGCAGAACAGTCGCTCAGGACCTGACGCTTAGTATCCCAGCTCTATTTGAACAGCTCATTGCTCGATGGTCAACGCACCGAGGCCCCTTTGGCGTGGCACTTACCAGTCTAGGTGCTCATAATGTGTTAGTGGACGAAAATTTCAGGGTTCAGGCCGTTATTCATCCCGAAGGGTTGATGGCAGTACCTCGCGAAATACAGGCCCAGATGCCTTTGTCCATGGGCCTGCAGACTTCCCCTCCTCGCTCCCGTGCGGAATCAGTGGCACAGATGACGACTCTAATGGAGGAGATGGAGAGAGCCAAGTCATATGTGTCTTACCTGAAAGAAGCAGATCGCATTAAATATGCCGGCGTTAGACGGGATGCTGATGACGCTCCTCTGTACACGGCAGTGCTAGGCCCGGCAGCCCTTATATATCAGGGGCTGGTTGAATTCAAAAACTTCCGGGAAAACGTCGACCGCAGGTGGCTGACTGCGTATGCTCATTATTCGCAAGACTTCAAATAGCCGTGACTTGTTTGTTCCTGGCCAGATGTATTTCCTAAGCAGTTCTATCATTTTCAAGGACACGGTGGATGAGATTTAACCAGTTTAGCCTTCATGCGGCAGAAGAACCCATTGTAGAAACAGCTTAATTGAAATTAATCCAAATATGACTATTTTTTGTTCGCTCCTTGCTTTTGGTCCGCTAAATCGTAAAAATGGGTATCATGTCCAAAAAAATATGCAAAAAGGGAATAACGAAGGGAGAGAATAAAAGGAGGGAATGGGTGTCAGTAGACGTCGTTATCATCTCCACCACCTTCATCGAACCCGTCACCGAGCTCATCACCTCCGTCAAAGTATTGCTCAGCATTATAATCACCTCCCATCTCTTCCTCATCTTCTTCGAAATCATCGTCCACTATCTCGTCTTCAGCATCTTCATCGTCGTCGTCCAGTGCGTCTTCACCCTCACGAACACCTGTTCGTCGTCTGCCGCCCGCATCAGACCCTTCATCATCTTCGTCGCCTTGGTTCCGTTTCTTCCGCCGGCCCTCGTCCTCCTCGTCCTCATCCTCATCCTCCTCGAACCCTCGCTTCTGCGTGGCCTTGGAGAATCCTCCACCATTCGCAAATGTTCCCGGTAGCCCAACATATTTCGGATCGAGTGTTGACCATAGCTCCTTGGGGAAGAAGTTCATCTCTGCAATATCGTTAGACTCTCTTCTATTGTTTTGTTCCTCGAACTATATCAAGCGATGCGGGGCGAGGAGAGTATTACCAAATGGCACTGCACTTAATTTCGGTAAAGTTCTCGATTTTTTCATATATCTCTGCCCATAAGACGCCATGCCCTGGAAAGGGTCAAACTGTGCTCGGGCTGGGACACCTTTCTTGCCGTATGACGGTTGGGATGCAAGGACAGTGTAAAACGGCCCATCGTGGATTTTCTCCCGCAATTGACGATAGAGTTGTACTCTTGATATTTCTGCATCGGTAAATTGAGCTGGGACAGGTACGGTATATTTCTGCCAAAATTAATTGAGTCACGTTAGCAGGTGCATGGGACGAATCCAATCATATATCAAAGAGAATTGATGTATTACGGGAAATAATGGTGTTGGCGAGGTGTCTACTTCCCCACCCCCCTCAGACTTCCAGGCAAACTCGGCTCCGGGTGCCTTCTTATTGCGTGCAGCTCGAGACATCGTTGAGCCATGCAAAAGGCGCACACGCTTGAGTTGTTTGAGGGCCGAAGTTGTCGAAGTTTGTATAATTTTTGACAGCTTTGAGCCTCAAAATGGTCACGTGATATGATTTTGGCCAAACAGACAGACAACGATGGCTTCTCATCCGTTCTTATCAACATGATATAATTATAATGATAACGAAATATGGGGAAGGAATAGGAGTAAATCTATCACAACTTGAGACCTAGAATTAAATATATACATATACACTACAACAGGCGCAGACATGAGGATCCTCTTATAGTTCGAGGGCTTCAATTCTGCTTCCAATTTGGTTCGGAGCACCCATGGGTCCTTCTGCCACCCTCCGCTTCAAGGTTCGTTTAATATCATCGAGGCTTCCGGTAGAACTCTCCATTTTCTGAACAGCTGACTGGAGCGCGACAAGGGCATCATACTTTGCGGTAGCAATCCGCCATACAGCACTCTCGGTATCTCCAGCTCCTCCGGCAACGAAATTAGCATAGGATGGGGGCTGCTTAAAAAGGTATGGTAGAACAACAGTCAGGGCTGGTGGAACAAGTAACGCCCATGCTCCACTAACAGGGAGATTCCCTTGAGAGGAGGGACCAAGTTGGCTGACTACAGCCTCCGTTGGAAGTGTAAACCGACCAGAGGTCAATGTACGTGCATCTTCAGCCGATGAGAGAACAGTCCAATTGGCTGTCACAACACTCTTTATCAAGTTTATAGACGCTATTGCTGTCTCTTGCATAGCTATTATCTCCGCAGCTTCGACGATGTTGGACCAGAAACCTGGGTGGCTGTTTAAATACTGAAAATAGAGGATTCTTGAGGCCGCTGCCTCAGCTCGGGAGCTGGTAGGGTTTGGGCCTTTGCTAATGGCCTGGTCAATATCCATCGCGTCTCCAGAGGGAGGTGGCCCATGAAATATCTTCCCCAAACACATCAGGGTCTCAATGTGTAAGGGCTTTGAAGGAATAGCGAGTAGCGGATTCAGGCCTCGTTTGCCAGATTCAACTAACATTACTCGTGGAAGTGAGGCCAAGATATCGAGATCTCCCACAGGTACGGGCCCATGGGCCCACTGAGCGGATGGTATTTTGAATCCTTCCAGTATGCGAGAGCACAGCCGATCCAGCTGTGTCTGGGGTTCTTGTAGTAGGTGGTTTGGATAGAGAGCTGCATAGGCAGAAACATATGCCATCACAGGGGCGGCAAGGAAGCTTGCAGTGGAAGGGTCAAGGGTAGAGGGATCCAAGTAGTAATTGATTACCTTCCTATGTAGGGCATTTGTGATAAGGAATTCTAGAGATGGAGATGAGAATGAGGGGATTGAGCTGGATGTCTTGCTGGGGCTGTAATGTAGTCCGGGAGCATTGATTTCAAGCAGCTGTCGGAAAAATTGTAGGAGAGTCATATGGAGTAAGAGGTCACTCGTATCGACCATCTGAAGCGCGGCGAAGCTCAGCAAGCTCTCGCTCTGGAAGGTAGATTCAACATCAGCGAAGTGTGAGCTCGATATAGCATTCCAGTTGACAGACCCAACTTTGACAACAAACTCCATCAATCTCCCCTGAGCAACTGTCTTTTGTCGAGCACTGATCTGTCCATCTTGTCCTACGGTACGCAAGGAACATATCGAAAAGAGGAGCCTATAGATAGTTTTATCCGCAAATATCCTCTGCCACATTGGCCCATTCTGTAGAGATTCATTCTTGGGTCCTCCGTTCGCGTTATTTGAAACTAAGTGGTCCGCCTCTAGTAGAGACCAGAGTACATCAAAAGCGGCCTGCGATACTCCAGAGTCATCGGTCGACAGCCATAGCTCTACAATAGACCTGACCAAATCTGCATTTTGAGCAACTTCAGCAACATGGTTTGGAGACTCGCTTGCCTTTACAACTAGGCAAAGTACAAGGGTATTGATTGCGGGAGAGCCGGCCCTGATTCCAGAAACGAAATCGATACGGGGATCAATTGACTGAAGCTCTGAAAAGCTTAGGTACTGTGCCACCTTTGTTGCTAGGGTTGCGACGGGACTTGGGTCCTCCTGTAGCACCGGAAGGACGCGGGATATCAGGATGATCAGCTTCTTGGAGAGGCCATGGTCCGTCTGGGCTACCACCTCGGCTCCTAGCTTGTCAATGAGGTGAACATCGAGGGGGGTCGACGGGTCCGCAAGGATCTGCTCTAGGTTGTTTGTCACCTGGTCGAAGGATAGCGGCCTGCTCATGGCGTCCGTCCGCTGCTGCTGTGCTATCAGTATGTCTGCAATGCCGGGATGTTGTCGACGTTGTCGTCGTTTCGTCACTTTCGACAGCCTCGACCCCACAAAGTCAAACAGGCCAAACGCCAAGACTTTGCTTATCGAGCTCTATTTTATCTTCTATCAACGATCAACTTCAACACCAAACAAAAGGCTAAAAGGTAACAACTATCTACTACAAGATCAAGCTTGATTGACGCCGCTTTACTTTATATATCGACTGGTGGGAGTCCCAAGACGCCATGGCAGAGGCATCTAACACTCTGATATCCTCCAAATCCTCACACTCCAGTCTCCACGCCTTGCTACATCCCCTCGTCCTACTCAATATCTCCGATCACATCACACGGCATGCAGTTCGACAGCAGAAGGGATTGATAGTAGGTGCCATACTCGGACAGCAGAATGGAAGGTCCATTACTCTAGAGCACGTATTCGACTGCAACCTGGTCACCTCCCCCAGTGGAGAAGTGCTCCTACACCAGGAGTTCTTTAATGAGCGATTACAGCAGTGTAAGCTCCCGTTTAAGCTGATAATGGTATCTTATATACACGAGTGCATTTTCTTACTTTAATGATAGTTAAGGATGTGCACAAGTCACCAGCTCTAGACCTGGTTGGCTGGTTTACCGTCACGCCTCCGTCCGGACCTCTACAGTCGCAGGTTTCCATTCACGAGCAGATACTCCGCGATTATAACGAAGCTGCGATTCTCCTTGCATTCCACTCCTCAGATGTTGAAAATACATCTTCAACGGTTGGGAAACTTCCCATATCCGTATACGAATCGGTTTATGAAGAGGATACTGCCGATGACGGCGACCGACCCATGCAAGGAGATGACCAACAGCGAACTTTGGCGTTGAAGTTTAGGCCTGTTCCATATTCCATCGAGACAGGAGAAGCTGAAATGATAAGCGTTGATTCAATTGCTACCGGGGGTGGCAATGCAACTGCAATCCTAGATAAAGAGCCAAGTAAGACAAAGACCGAGACTCAGACTCAGGATAAAGAGAAACGACAGAAGCTATCAGAACCTGCGGAAGATCTCGTTCTTTCCCCCGAGGATGAGGATTGTAAGTAAATATACTTACATGCCATGCCATGAAAAAGTACTAACATTAATGCAGTAATTGCAAATCTTACAACAAGACTGAGTGCTGTCAAAACATTACAGTCTCGCATACATCTCATAAAATGCTATCTTCAGTCGATCGCAGAAGACTTGAGCGCTGATACTTCCATGGCACAACAATCTACTCCCAAGCCAACGCTTTCTCACTCCCTCCTTCGCAGTATCTACTGCGTCATCTCCCACCTTGCCCTGCTGAGCCCAGAGAATTCGAATGCGTTTTCAATAGAGTCCCTAGCTCAAGCAAATGACGTTCTGCTTACCGCTTTGCTGGGTTCCATGGGCCAGAACATTTCTCAGATGCGGGAATTAGGAAAGAAATTTGCTGTCTCTGAATTAACGGCCCGCAACATTGTCAAGGAATCTCAACTTTCTAGTCGCATGGGTGGGGATTTGTTTCATACCTAGACCGGTAATACCTGGGGACTGGAAGTCGGAAACAAATGCTTCATCAGAGAGTTATAGGGCTTATTCAAACGTCATCCAAATAAATGATAAATGATAAAAATGATACGATTGCAAGGATGCCATATGATATGGAGCTTTGACCGGAGTTGAACCTGCATTCCCGCTGCTGTATAGAAAACTACACCGAACATAGAAAACAACAGACGTGGATGCAATAACAGCCCACATCTCGGAAGTAATAAAACCAAGCCATATAGGTCAATATAGTAAATTTAGCATTTTCCTCCTTTGTGAAAAGGGCTTATTTTATCCCCTGTAACCGCCCCCTGATGTAAACACCGTTTAAAGCCAGTCAAAAATTGCCGGTAGAGATGAGTATGGAAACAGCAAGAGGAAATAAGGAAAATGGTAAGAAGGAAGATTGGTAGTTGGTGGTAGGTTAATTTCAGCTAGGGTAAACCCGGCGCCATCCGGCCGGAGTATGCGTGAGAAAGGGGATAAAAGAAAACCTGTAGTTATGCAAGGCATGGAGGAAAGTAAGGATAGCAATGAAATATCGGAAAAAAACAGATAGATGTTTTATCTCATCGTCTACCTCTCCAGGGGCCGTCTCTCCAGCTACTTCCCCAATCTCCTCGCCCACCACGCCCACCTCCCCTTCCCCTACCGCCGCGCCGAGAGCCGTACTCTGGACCTTGAACGACGAACTGATCAGTGTCCTCGAAGGTGTACCTGAACATCTCATCGCCACCTCGTTTGGATACTGGGCCAGCCCTGGCCAGATCGTCAAACTGATCGAGGCGTCTGTCTGACACCTCCCGAGGCACAGGGAGATAGTACAACTTCGGTTTTGCGACGGTAGAAAGAAACCTATCATCAAGAGCTTTGAAACCGTGTTCTGGCATCTTGCTACCAGATGGGCCTATCTGTTGACTTCCCTGACGACCTCCAGGGCCCATTCTATCTGCTCGAGGGCCCGTTGGTGGTTCTCGTCCTTGGCCAGAATCATAGGGACGAGGTGGTCCACTGGTTATTGACGAGGCCTCTTGGAGCCTTGCTTTTATACCATCCTCGGTCTCGTCATAGGTAACTTCCCAGCGAGGACCTCCACGGCCACTGTTTCCGGGCGCCTCTTCAATTTCTATCCATTCTTTCACTTTCTCTTCTGGGATGAAGTCGGCCCATAGTGGTTTGCGGGTGCGCTCTTCTGGCCAGATAGCGTCGTGCAAGGCGGCTCGAACCCGAGAAGCAGCTGCAATGCTTGTAAAGCTGGCGAAACAGTGGGTTTTGATGGAGTCCAGGAAGAAATCAACAATAACGTCAGGGTCTGGGGAAGAATTTGGCGGCACAGCCAGCGAGCAGAGGTGTCGTTTCAATGCTGCGGGCTGCAAGGGCCGCATGAAGTCACGGATATATAGAGCGGTGGTAGCTGGGTGTAAAGCAGGAGACACCATACGGTCATCACCTTCAGCAGGAGGAGGTGACTCGGGACGCAAGGGGGCCCCATTCGTGGCAGGAAATAGATCCTTGAACCTCGCGTCACCAACCGGTTTCCTTTGAGCATGAGGTTTTTCATTTCTATCCGAAGGTTCCTCATGACCTGGTGCTTGGGTTTCTACCCGATCCTTAGACTCATCCTCTTCGGTCTCTTGCTTCGGTTCCGGCGCAGGTGGTGTGCCCTCTTTCATTTCCACATCCGTGTCTCGAGCTGGCGGTTCAGCAATCGCCGGTGCCGCAGCGGGCGCCTCTTGCTCTTCCTTGCGCTCCTCGGCTTTAATCTCTTCCTGTGTTGACCGAGATTGTTGCCGCTCCTCCTCGAGTCTCGCTTTCTTCAATGCGATACTCCTCGGGGAAGGAGGAGGAGTCTGACTTCGCCGCTTCCGTTTCCTCGACTCATCCGTATCTTCCTTTATAGCTTCGACATCCGTGGACGGCGTTTTATTCACGCTTTCGTCTTTAACTGGCTCTTGGACAGGCTCTTGCACAGGCTCTTGCGCAGGCTCCGGCGCAGGCTCTGGGGCAGGCTCTTTAACGGGTTCTGGTTCGGGTGCTGGAGCAGCCTGCGCGGGAGTAACATCTTCCACTGCCAACTCCGTCACTGGAGCAGGCACAGTCTCTGCTACCGCAGGTTTCGGCGTAGGTACAGGTGCTTGGGCGACAGGAGGAGCCGACACTGGTTCAATAAGCTGTGAAATGCTAGTAACCTTTTGTGCAGGAACAGGCGCAGGAGCTGGCTCCGGTACAACGGTCCGCTGTACTTCGGTGGTCAAGATCTGTTGCGCAGGAGGCTCCTCTACCGGTTTCGATGGCAATTGCGCTGCTTGGGGCACCGGAGCTTGAGGAGGTTCGGGTGGTGTTTCTTGATATGCTGCGTTTGTCGGCTGCTGTGCCAGCGCTGGTGCTGGCTCAACTGGCTCGGCTGGTGTCTCAGACGAGGTACCAGCGCGCTCATTGTCGTCTTGAATAAGCCGGTCGATGAAGTTCTGCTTCACTCGCAGTCCCGTCTGGGGGATTCCACGCTTCTTCAACTCAGCCTTCAGGTCGGTGACCTTCAAGCTTCCATAGTCCATCACGGCTGCAGTTATGACGCGACTGGCAAGGGCACAGGGATAACGAAAAAGAGGACTAATTAGAATCCACGCATCGCCTAGCTGGTGTAATCGTATGGTGAGGCGCTGCGCTCCTAGACTCGAGTCCGGACTGCGATATGTAGGTGATGCCTCGATAGGTTGTCTCCCTCTCCGTCATTTGCCTGCCTTTCAAGGTCAAACAGAAAGCTTTAATTTAGTTTGCTTCAGCTTTTTTGGAGGTTTTGTTTTTTTCTTCACGGTCACGTGAGCATGTTTATTCGCCTTCAAGCAGCAAAAGTAGAAGAAGAGGAACGACGGCGAGGTTGGAGAGGACGAGATGGCGATCAATGGGATTAGGCAGCTAGCTACGGAGTGTTAGAGGTCATATCATACATGGTGGGTCGGAGTAAGATGGGGTAAAAGTCACATCTCGGGGTAAAGAGGGTAGCTAGTTATCAGATCAAACGGCACGCCGCATAGCTGCCAAAATATGAGCCAAAATAAAGAGATAGTGAGAGATTATGTACAGCCGAGTGGGAATGGTGGAGTTGATAGGGAAAGGTTCTTGTTTTTGTTTGAGGTCTAGATCCTCTGGAAGATGGGATTTTATATTTTTTTTAGTAGAGATAGCGCCAGAATCAGATCGGAGGAGAAAGTGGTGGTGGTAGCATTTACTTTGTTCGTTCGCCCCAGATGCCAATCACACCCATGGAGAAGCCGATACCAAGCAGATACGTCCTGAGCATGTGGAGGTTGCGTTCTTTCTTCATGGCCAGTTCGACGGATTCGCCATTGACATCCGCCACTGAGCTAGCTGGTGTGGGTTTTTCGGTTGAGCGGGAGGTTCCCATAGACTCAGCCTCTGATGGAGGTTCGACAAGCTCGATTTCACTCGAGGTTGCAAGCGACTCTTCGTCTTCTGCTTTCTTCTCGGGGGAGGCTGGCTTAGGCGCAGATCCGAAGAAACGGTTCAAAATAGATCCAGCACAGCAGCATGAAGAACGTGGTTCGCCAGATGTAGACACGCTGCATAGAGATGACAGATAGGAGCTACAGGTACTGGTGCGAGGGCTCTCGGTGCCCTGGATGAAGGAAGGGTGGTTGGTATACAGTTCCAGACCGAGACCACCGAGAAGAGCGAATGCGCTGGTCCAGAGGAGATAAGGATGCCGTCGACGAGGAGAGGAGAGGCTGAATGCTGTGATAAGAGTGAAAATGGTGATGTGCGAGAGGGTCAGGGCCGCTCTACGTGCGCGGAATTGGATATCAGTCAGGGCTTGGGAGGCAACAGAAGCCGTGGGAAGGCCTTGAAGAGCTGGTAAAGTAATGGATGACATCGAATATGAAAGGCCCTATATTCGTGTTAGTGAAAAACAAGGGCATAATGATTGATTTTACATGGTACGTACAGTTGATATGCCAATAGAGATCATGCCAACGAATTTGGCGACTGTGATCGGGCAGGCCATGACGTTTGTCAGAGCTATGGCTCGGTGTGCTTTGTACGGACGTTAGAAGTTGCAGCCCGGGAGACGAGCTTTTGATGCCCTGCTGGCCCACCGTGTATCGTTTTAATGGCCTCAGAATGAAGAGTGTCCGGTGAATTGGCAGGTTCTGGGACTGCAGGTTTGCTTGAAGGTCTCAAATAAAAAGCACTTTTTGGAGCTCATGAAAGGCCGGAAAAACATCGGAAGATCGACGCAATGACACAATAACTCGTTGACTAATTATGTAATAGCTGGCGAATCTGGAGAACGGCGCCTTCAAGAGACTGGGGAATGGGGAAGAAGATACAAGGCACGAGATATCAGCCATGCTGAGTGGTAGAGAATACTCCATAACCGTTTGAGGGTAATTTATACCGTGGTTGTTGCTAGAGGAAGATGTTGGTAGGAGGACATTCTCTACCTAGCAGTGGACACTATTGTGCTCGAACAGCCACACCATGGTATTCCACTGCCTTTAGAGTAATCGCCGAGCAGAATCCTTCCATACGATGCTTGTCTGGGTGGAGTTTTATCGTCTCGATGCTTTTGCTGTCTGCTCGTTTGCGTGCCAGAACCCGCCGAGCCGCAGAAAACAAGCCGAGGCTCGCAAGGTCTTGGCATCAACAACGCCTGCTGAGCAGTTACCAACCTTTCTCTGCGGCCTTGTAGGTTAAATAGATGATCATTTTACCCCGGAGTCCGGACGCAGAGAAGGCTTTGAGACGGTAGTAGCCTGTGAAACCATTCCAAGATGCCGATGCCAAAGTCTTCTTACATTAGCGACGTCTGGAAGGACGGCATTTTCGGTATGATTTTAGATAACTGCCTGCCGAAGGAGTAGACCTCAAGCTAACGAGCAGATAGATAACAAGGTTGTCTTTTGTACTGGCGGAGCTGGGACAATATGCAGTGCCCAGGTTCGCGCTTTGGTACATCTAGGTGCGAATGCATGCATTGTTGGCCGTAATGTTGAGAAGACGGAGAGTATGGCCAAGGACATTGCCACGGCTCGCAAGGGTTCGAAGGTCCTTGGAATTGGATCGGTCGACGTTCGCAGCTTTGAGAGTCTCAAGAAGGCTGTAGACCGATGCGTAGAGGAACTGGGAGCTATTGATTTTGTTATGTACTGATTTCGACTCCCCTTTGATTGTGTATGAGCTGGTCTAACTCCATTTGACAGCGCTGGAGCAGCTGGGAATTTCCTAGCCTCGATCAATCAGTTGTCTGTCAACGCCTTTAAAGCGGTCATGGACATAGATGTGCTGGGCTCGTTCAACACATTGAAAGCAACGATACCCCATCTGGTTGAGTCCGCTGTTAAGCATCGGTCTGATGGAACAACTCGTGAGTTTCTATCCTCGGATCGGGAAAGAGAAGGAAGATAAGCTGATTGCAGATTTGATATAGCATCACCGACCGGGACAGGCGGGAGGATCATCTTCGTCAGTGCCACTATTCACTATACTGGCATGCCTATGCAGACACACGTCTCTGTTGCAAAGGCAGGTGTGGACGCGCTATCGAACAGTGTGGCGATTGAATTTGGCCCTGTAGGAGTAACATCCAATGTTATCAGCCCAGGCCCAATTGGAGAGACGGAGGTAAGAAAAAACCCGACTTGGATTGCATTGAACCTTTGAAAAGCTATAGGTATGGAGTAGTATGCTGACAACTTCCTAAGGGCATGAAACGGCTTGCTACAGAAGACGCAAAGAAAAGCAATGAGGCTGCTATCCCGCTTGGTCGCTATGGCTCTGTCAAAGAGATTGCAGATGCAACTATATACATCTTCTCAGACTCTGGGAACTATGTCAATGCTTCCACTGTTGTTGGTACGTGTCTTCTCTGCTGTGTTTTACCGTGGCTATATGACTGACCAATGTTCAACAGTTGATGGAGGAGCCTGGCGCCTGCAGGCTGCTGGAATATCAGGCAGTGGCTTCTCTTATCCTGACTTCCTCCTATCTGGCATGGAAGTCACAGGCGTCTCGGGACAAAAGCAGAAGGCAAAGATTTGACATGCGGCCTTACGTACTTGCTATTTGTGATACATCTCCTATAGTTCTATAGTATATATGTAGCCATCTTCTGTAACTATCTAGCCAATATTGCATCATTGTTGTTGATATTGACTTTGTAAGCTCCTCTCGCGCTCCTTTCTCGGCCCTGTAAAATACGCCAGCCAATACCTTATCAAACGGCTTTACCGTTTGATCTGGAAGCTTCTCGTAAGATTGATCTGAGGCCTTCTTTGTCTGCTGGCTGACAGTCTCTATAGCAACCTGTCAAAGGCCCCACTGTTTTGATATCATACAGGACAGGACATAAAAAACGCGGCGTCTGGATCAAACAAAGCATTGTTTTAATCAAACCGTATTTACCGGCCATACTAGCTTGATCTTGGATCAAACCACTGCAATACAGTGTCCTGTAGACAGCCACAGCCACAGCCTTGCTTTTCTTTGCTTTGCCTTCAACAAGCTAAGTTTTTATATGCAGCCTTTGGAAAAGTGCATACCACGTGACCTGTCCTGAAATGGCAGTTTTCAACGTCAAGTCATAAAGAAGGCAGAACAAGGAGGAAAAAATGGTTGCTTTGTAGGTATAGAACAATGACCATGTAGATAGATATCCTTATATAAGAGGCGTTGGAAACCTGGGAGTAGGGCAGAGAAGTGATATATAGATGGAGAGCATACTTCTATATGGCAAAAATTGGCCATAGATGATATATACTATCTTCTCCTCAGGGGTATCTATATAGATATGATATATGACTCGCAAGCTGGAAACCAGATAGCAAGGCTCAGGCTATATATAACGAGTATATATAGAAGACAGAAACATGGGCGATGGTCTGGACTAGCAGCTCCGGTCGAAGCTTGCACTCCAGTACAGGTACGTTACCAAATACCCTGACAGGACAGCCGAGCAGGACACCGTCAGGACAGCGTATCAACCAAATACCGCGCTAGGAAACTCGCCAGCAGGACAGATTTGAACCGCACTAAGAGGAGTGATCTGGTTGCCCTGGAAGCCCCGCCTTGTTTTGGTGCAATATAAAAATCTCTGCTCCCACCCCCCTTTTCTCTTCTCCTTTCTTCTCCTTCCTCGACTCACAGTAGCATCAAGTCAACCACCATCCACAGTGTTCGCAGATAGCTTCGTAACTCTCTCAGTCACCGTCTCCGCCATCTCTCCAGAGCCAGCATCTCGCTTGAACCTGTGACCTCTTCTCTTGATCCTTTCGTTGCCAGCCAACTCGTTTGTCGAATCTCCATCCTCCACCACCTACAAGCTCTCGCGAGCTTCGAGTTCGACAACGATCAGCGAAAGATCACCTCTCCGTCTTCGTTTTCAGGCTTGATCACCGCCAATTCTCTTCGTGAATCAGCCAACACCGTCACCATTCCGAAGAAATCAACCTGAACGTCGACGTTCTTCTTCTCCAGTCTCACGGGAATCTCACCACCGTTCGAGACGAATCCAACCTCGCCAAAAACAACATTCGTCGCTTGACGCTCGAATCCCTTCATCACACAGGGATTCTTGAGATCGCAGTCCTCAATTTTCGTCAGTTCGATCGCAGCTGTAGAGCTCGATCACTCGCGTCGCCTCGCTTCATTTCCAGAACAGTCACGTCAAAGGCTGGTTCTACCCTTCCACCGTCAACTCCTTAAGCGAACCGTCAATTTCACCAGCTTAAGCAAAGGGAAAGCAATGGCTCCTGTTCAGCAAAAGGACGCCAAAATGAGCGCCGGACAGAAACAACAGCTGTCCAATGGCAAACGCCCTGACATCATCGGGGATGCGAATGTTGCCGTTCCGCGTCTGACTCCGGAACAAAATGCCCAGGGTCAATCCGATTTGTACAAATCGAAGTGGGCGACCCCAGTAGATGAGTACCAGACGGCCTGGGAAAAGATACTGGCGGGCAAAGGGGGGCCGTCTGCCAGCCAAATCACACAGGCGGCAGTACCTGCAGCAACGTCGGGGGCCAAACAACAACCACCAACCTCGACAGACAAGCCCACTGCAGGGAAGCAGGAGTCAAAGGGCAAGCAAAGGGCCACCACCCAGCAGCCTTCGACTTCCCCCCAGAAAATCGACCGGGCGGACGACGGCCACAACAAACCTTCTTCTCAGAAGGGTTCGTCGGGCAAGACTCTCAGCGCCAATCCACCGAAACCCGCCAGCACCGACAAGAAAAACATGGCAGTAGGTGAAGGCCCTTCGGACAGCCGTCGTCCGCCGCCTGTTACGAGCCAACAGTCACAACCAGCCACCTCTCTTCCTCCGGCTAGCGAAAACGACAACGACAACGACGCCGGTTCAGATGCCGCCAAAAAGCGACGCCGTCGAGGAAGACGTGGCAAGGGGGGCAACAAAGACAAAGACAACGAGGCTGCCGCATCAGCCATTGCCCCCCAAACCTCCGGCCAAAGTACCTCCCAGCCAAGTCCAGCAAAGGGAAACGGCCCCAAAGAGTCTGCTGCTGGTGGTGCCGACAAGAAAACCAGCAAGCCATCGACAACCACAGCCAGTGCACCACCAAAGACGCCAGCAGCACAACCATCATCTGCTGGCGCAGCTAGAAAAGCAGCAGACTCGAAACTTGCACAGCCAGCGTTGGCTCTACCCCCTGCTCAGCCAAAACAACTGCAGCAGCCGCAGCAAAAGCAACAGCAATCGCAACAACAGAAGCTGCAGCAGCAGGGGGGAGTCAGAGGGAACGGACAACAAGCACCTCAACACCCAGGTGCTGCGAAGGGCAGCTTGGCCACTCCACCACCACCACCACCATCCACCACGGCGGCCACCATTGCCGCCAGTAAGCCCAAGCCTGCCCCCGCCAATGTTCCCAGAGCCAACGAGACCACTGGCAATGACCGCAAGGTCGCCGGGACGCCCGCTACTCAACAGCGTCCCGCCGTGCAAGCTCCTCGCTTCGGTCCTTCAGCACCCGCTGGGGGCGCCGCGACCACCGGGGTCGCGGCCAGAAGTATGGCTGTGCAGAGACCCGCAACCGGGCAAGTCGGTTTTGCGGTGACTGCACAGAACGCACCCGTTCAGCTCGGTTGGTCACCGAACATGATGGGTGACTCCCGTGCCCGGAGGTCCGGGGTTATGCCCCGTCTCGCACCTGGTTGGGAAGGGTATCAGGACAGAATCAACGTGTCTGGAGCAATCCAAGACATTTACCTGTATGCTGGAGACAGGTTAGACGTTGAGAAGTTCAATGCCTACGTTGCAAGCCCCTGCCATTCGGTAGAAGCAAAGGTCAATTGTCTTAAGGACATTGTCGTTACCATGGACCGAGTCGTGTCGGAGAAGCACGCCTCGGCCATGTCCATCAAAGCGGAACGTGACGCCTTCCGCGACGACTACGACCGGGCAAAAGCGCAAGCCGACGAGTACGCTGAGAGGCTCGCGGCTGAGCAGCTGCAACGAGAGCAACTGGAGGAGCAGATCGTCAGCCTGCGCCATTCCGTGGCCGGTCTCCGCAAGGAGGTCGTTACAAAGGAGAGTCATCTTGACTCTGCCGAGGTGGAGATTCTCCGCCTCAAGGACGATCTTGCTGCAAACCACAGTTTGCTCGACAAGGCTGTCTCGAAACAGGCAGCTCAGGCTGCAGAGACAGCCTCCCACCAGGAACAGGTGGCTTCTCTCCACGGCGAGGTGGAGAAGCTATCTGGCGAGCTCAGCGGCCTCCGGGCCAAATTCACCCTTGCCGACTCAGAACGCAAGGCGTTGGCAGAGGAGATTGCCAAAAGCCCGTTGCAGAGCGAAAACGAGCATCTCCGGTCCCAACTTTCCGAAGTTCGGGACCAGCTCGACTCTGCGAACCAGATCCGAAATGATCTGGAGGCTGAGCGTGCAGCTCACATCTGCTGCCAGCCTGTGGAGAGTGGCAATCCAACCTCCGCAACGTTGAGCATGGAGTTGGAAGGGTGGGGGGTTGGACAGGACTCCCGCTCTCAGACAGACGAAGAGGATGGGAGACAAACACGATCCCGTCAACCGTCCCCGCCAGCATCCAGTGCTTCTCTGTACGGTGGTGGCAACACCGTCTCTACGTCTACCCAGACGGACGAGGTGGAAGTCATTGAGACTTCCACACAGACTGAAGAAGCGGTCGTCTCTCAACTCGAGGCGTCTACCCAGACTGTCTGCACGGAGGTTGTTACAGCCTCCACCCAGACAGTCTCCGTAGAGGTCTCGACGAGCGAGGCTTCTGCCCAAACGGCCTTGACCGGTGATGTTCTATCCCCGGCCGAGGTGGAAGTCCGAGTTGCTGGCGTCTGTCAGAAGGCGCGAACAAAGGATGCTCAAGTGCAGACAGCCATGGTTGTCGAAGTCCCTGGAGGCAGAGTTGCGTCGCTGAGGTTTCTCCTCGCCCTGCTCTTGCTTGCCTGGGCGATGATCATGCTGTGGAGCAGATACAGCGAGATATCTGCTTGGGAGGCTGCCAACGACACGTCGCGTGCGACTGTTGCTGGTATTCGTTCCCAGCAGGTGTTTCCCTGGTCTCTCATGTCCGACAAGCTTAGCTACTCGGTCGTTCGGCACTTTGATAGAGTACTCCCAGGCTAAACGAACGGGGAGTCCGTCAGGAGGCCATCGGTGTGCGTCAAAACCACACTGATGTCCTTCCTTTCTGGCAATGATCCTGACAACCAGCCTGCGTTCTGTCCTGCCCCCGGGAGTCGATAGGCAGTGGAGGAAGTGGTCCATCAACAGTTCCCGCCCATTTCGAAGGGCTTGGGTGTGTTTGATGGAATCCAGATATCAATGTTTTCCCCCCTTCTTTCTCCTTTTTCTCTCCTCCGCGCGGATTTTACTGTAGGGCGTCTTTCCCTCCTTCGGGACAGGGTGGATGCCCACGATACCATTATTGTCACCTTCTCATCCGCTCTCTCTTTTCTTTATCCCCTCTCCAATTGCACTTCCTGCCCTGCTGCTCCCCTTGCTGATGCTTGATATAACGAATTTCTGGTGAGATGGAGTGTGGCTGATGCCGTGTTTGGGTGTTAACACGTCATCTTCCGCATGTCCATAGGATTGTTGGTATTGCCTTTTGACTCATGGTCTCTCCTCCAGCTGCTTCTCCCTTCCGAGCTTCTTTTGATATCCTGTCGTGCCTTTTCTTCTTCTCCTTTTGCTACTATTTTTGATGACTTGACGTTGAAATATGCACACGTGACTCCTGACATAAGCAACACGCGGCATTACGTCATCCCCTGTCTCTCTGCCTTTCTTTTTTTTACGAAACTTACGCCTTTTTTACGCCGAAAATTACACGCCAGCAGAAAGGTACTTGATCCCTTTGCCCTTGACACTGCCACCCTCTGCCTCTCCTGGGCTGTTCCTCCTTGGTGCTTATGTCTGACGCTAACCCTGGTCTAGGCCCTTAACTGTTACCCTAAATAACCCTCACGCCGAATCCTGCCCTCCTTACTCTTGCTGCCCGCTTCTCCTCGCACCAACGACGGCCTTCTGTAAGTACCTTAAGTACCCTTTGCCGAGCCCTCGTAATAAGGTGTACAGGCTAACCCGATCTGCCCTAGCGCCGGGTCTCGTGTCTTGTTTCAACTTCCGCCTTTCTTCTTCCTTCTTGGACTCTTCGACGTCGCCTTTTGAGCGAGCGAGAGAGCGACACTTCTCGACCAACCTCGACCGCTGCGAACAAGTTGACCACCTTTTGAACCGCTTCTTGACACTCGTTTCTTGCCTGATATATTGGCCCTTTTTTGCTCTTCTGTTTCCTTGTTTCCTTTTTTTCTTTACTTTCCCTATCTGTGTTGACTTCTGAGATCTCCCCGTTTCCAACATTATGCTGGCGAAACTCCTCGCGACCTCCCTCCTGGCGCTCCAAGGCGCAGCCGCTTTCCTTATCGTTCCCGAGATTGACAGCCCTCATGCCACCAAGCAACAGGCTCCCGACGCCCACAAGCTGACCGTATCTGCCAACTGCCCCAAATGCCCGTTCCCAGGCCGTCTCGATGCCGCTGAGGTCTCTACCGTGGACAGCTACATGGTACGCTCGCCCGATCCCTCGTACTCTCTCTTTCAGCTCTCTCGCTCCCTTGTGAATTTGCCTCTAGCGGCCGGACAAGCGCTAACTGTCTCCTGCAGCTGTTCGACCTCTCGACCGACGCAGGCAGACTCTACATCAACAAAAAGGAAGTCTACCCCAATCCTGACACCTCCGTCGACCTCCAAACCAGCCTTATTCGCAAATCAGACGAGCAGTCTAGTCGAAACATCCCCACCGGCTATGTCTTCGAAGTCCTCCGAACCCCTGATTCTCCCAATGATCCAAATGGCCCTGAGCTACTCTCCTTCTATTTCACTCCCGTTCAGTTGAACGGTCTCCCTGCGGCAGCCGACACTCTCTACATTCCCGTCATCAAGACCGCCAACGGCAACCTTGTCATTGTCAACTCTCGCATCGAAGCTACTCCTGCCACCCATATCTCATCCCAGCGATGCGGCCGCAATGCTGAGTGCTGGAAACGTCTTCTCCTGGCTAGAC